CACGTAGGATGGTAGTCGCTGACTAGACCACTACATCAGCAATTTTCAACTAAAATTAGCCGGAATGACTAAATTACCAAATCCTCAAAGGTTTTAGGATTAAATTGGCAAATTGCCAAAATGTTTAAGACAAAATCAGCACAATTAAACTGTTTAGGAATTTTTTTAGTAATTTTCCCTCAATTCTTCTACTGATATAGGTAGTTGACACATTAAAAATTTGAATGCTTTTCTTTTTAATTAAGCATGGTTAATAAATGCCCAAAATGCACTAATATCGGTAATAAGAGTGTCGGAAGCCAAAAGTGGAGTAGAAAAAGCATGGGCTTGTTTTTATCTTTATTTTCTTCATTAGAAGCTTCTCTCAATTGCTAAAATTAATAACTACCTACCATCTTTAAAAACGAAAAAAGCTACACAAATTCATTTACCAAATACACGTGGCATGCGTTGAATTTAGGAGAAAATTACAAAATCCTAACTATATTGTATGGATGTTAATTCAGTTCTAAACCTTTTAATTTGATCAATTTAGTCATGAATCTTTTGATGATTTATCAATGACCGAAAATCGTTAACATGGACGTTGGTCATCTTATGTAACACGGCTGGTTCTAGTACGAACAATTTTTGTAATTTTTGTAATTTTTTTTAATATTTTTGTCATTGTTGCCGTGAGGGCTTACAGGCTCTTGTTGGTCACAATGGAAAAAGAGAAAAAAAAATGAAATGAACAAAATAGTCCAACCGAGTTATTGATAAGGCTTGAGAATTTAGCTGGGGGTGGTTTTCATACATGCTAAAAGTGCAAAGGCAAAATAGTCCAACCGAGTTCCATCTTTCGACACGATTTGTTAAACCATTTAAGCGATAACGGCATTATTTGTCTTCGATTTTCTATCCAATGCCTGATGTCATTCCTAAACGCTCGATTATTGTTTGATTAGGTTCCTGAAATTTCATTCAATGCACAAATGCCTCCCCTAAACTTTCAATCGATCTAATTTCATCTCTAACTAAGTTCTCCATATATTTTACCAACACATATGTCGCTGTTCTTATTCTTTTACGAATTTTTGCTATCGATGAGTGTGAGATAGATGAAAATGTCTATTTAAAGTGCTCGAGTGAAGATTTTTTTTATTTATTTAAAGGGAAACGTGCATGTAGAGAAGGACCACGTGCTCTTTCTGTAACATGAGTGAATTTTTGCACGTACGGAATTCACATGCATAATTCTCTCTGATTTCTATGTTAGTTTTACTAAATTGTTGTCCTTCTTAACAAATTTTGTTAGCACTGACTATTAGAAAATGGTGAACATTTTAAAGTGGCAAGCTTTTGCATGTTTTACAATCGAGTTCCTAAACATTTTTTTTGTTAAATTAAGTTCCAACGTATCTCGATTAACGTGACATCATTTTAAGAGACCACACTGGATGCTATAGTGGACATTATTTATTGGCATTAGTGTCCACATTTAATGGCTATTTAATGGCGTTCGTGATTTTAAGGGGGGCTTCACATTGATCAACTATTGAAAAGTTGATGTATTTAATCGAAAAAAAAGTTTAGGTACTTCATTGTAAGACCAGAAAAATTCACGTACTTGCGATGTCATTACTCCAATATTTATAATATGTTGAGGTCTTAATTGAATCAGTTGAAAGTTTCGAGAGATGGGAAAACTATCTATAGTGTTTTGAAGATGACAAAATAATCAAAGGTTACTAATTTGTGCATTCTTGGTGGAGCAACATTTTATATATGCACAAGTGATATGCGGATCGTGTCCCAACAATATCGTCAAAAGCTAGGATTGCTCTACCTCTAACAGGGATAAATACGATATCAGGCACAGAAGGTGTTTGAAAGTTGGATGGACCAGAGTAGAGGGTGAAAAGGTCGTAGAACGGGGAAGTTCGTGCATACTTGGATGAACACCAAAACGGTGAACAGCTGAGTAGAACTAGAATCGCCAAAACCACTTGGAAGGACTGAAGGATAGATGGTGACCAATCATTTTCGGTAAGAAGCGTGAAAGAACTAGAAGGACCGCTAGTAGAAGGAGTTCCTGCTATAGACGAGGTGGAAGACGTTTGACGTGCTTTCTGCTACCTAAATAAGAAGAACCGGACCTCTTTTGAGTTGATTTAAATTTAAATCAGAGGTTAATTACTAGCTTTCGGGTCCAGAGGTCCAAAGAATTTAACCCAAAGAAAATCATAGCAGCACTTCCCCTTTTGTGCAAGCATTCAGAGAGTTAGACACTGGACAGAAGTAGAAGTCTTTAATGATGGTAACCTCCATTTTAACTCGGCAATGGCAGACTGATTGTGCAGTCCGTAGACCGGCTAAGGAGATGTTCGTGTCCAACGGACCTTTTGACCTAGTTAGGACTTCCCAACGGCCAGATCAAGGCTTGGAAGTTTATAAAAGGGACTCAAAGATTGCTAAGGACAACGGCGGAAATTGGAAAGCTTCTACTCTCTATCGCCTTGAATGAGATAATGACACAAATAATCCATAAATTTTGACTCAATGTGTAATGTGATTCCTAAACTTCTAATTTGTTCAATGTGATCCCTCAACTTTTAATTTGTTTAATATGATCCATCGACTTTTGATACATGTTCAATGTAGTCCCCGAGTTATATGAAAATGTTCAATATTGTCATTCAATTTATTCAAGATTAGGGATAATATTGAACATTTTCATATAATTTGAAGACTAAATTGAACATGTACCAAAAGTTCATGGACCATATTGAACATATTAAAAGTTTATCATATTGCATATTGGGCTATAGTTTAAGAGCCATTCGTGTCGTTTTCCCCCTTGAATTTTGTCATGCTTCTAAGTGTGATTACTGCTTATATTCTGATTTAGATTATTTGAAAGGGAAGGTTTTTTGAGCTTTATGATATGTAAACAGAGGGTGTTAATAGTGATAGATGTGCTTGTGTTTTTGTAGGGCTATCTACTAGCTTCAAGTCTACTCTCTTTTAACCTCTTGAAGATTACTAGTAAATTCAGCACCCGCTACCATCTTTAACCACTTGAAGATTACTAGTAAATTCCAGTATGATTCTCGATTGTTAGTTCGAGAGAGTGGATGTAAGCTTTGTTATAAGCCGAACCACTCTGCTTGCAAATTTTTTTTATCTTTTTATCTCATTGATTTATCTATTTGTATAAGTACCGATATTTGTTTAATTGGTTCTGCATCTACTAAAGCATACTCGCAAGCATTCCGCGAAAAAAGTTCAAATTTACTTAAAACAATCTACTCATGCCCCTCTAAGTTGTTGTGCTAGCCTTAACAATTGCAACGTTGAATAGAAGTTTAGAAATCGCACATTTGACAAAAGTCGATGGGCTAATAGTATCATTATCCCACATGAAAATGGCCTTCACCAGATACGAGCTGCTTATAGTTAAACGATATCGCTTAAACCTCCATGAAAACGGAGATGCAGTTATAAGATAAGCCGATGACAATTTTTACTTCTTAAATTATAATATCGGCCTTCTAGATAACAGAAGGGATTGTTTTCTTTTGAAGTTCCGCAGAAAAGTTTTAGAGGTTGAAATGTGTCATTGAATTCGCCTTTATAAGTGCTTGATGTTTTTATTTTCTTGACATGTCCATGTGATAAAAAGTAAGAACGCCATTAGGGTTTTAATTAAGGGTTAATACCACGAAAAATCCTAAACTGGTACACTTGTTATAATTTTACCCCAAACTATTTTTTTGACCATAAAAAACCCCAAATTGGTACACTTGTGACAAATCTACCCCGAACTATTTTTTTGACCACAAAAAACCCTAAACTGGTATACACGTGACAATTTTACCATGAACTAATTTTTTAATATTATTTTTTTATTTTTCGAATTTTTTTTATTAATTTTTTATTTTTTCTTTACTTTTTTTTTCTTTTCTCTTCAACCTCTCTAGCCGGTTCGCCGAACCGGCGACCGGCCGAGGGCTGGAAGCCGGCGAGGTCGGCCTCGCCCCACCCACTAGCAAGGCTCGATCTCCGGGTTGGGCGAGGTCGGCCTCGCACCCAAAGGCGAGTCGAGCCTCGCCCGGGCCTGAGGCCCGGCCCCGGCGAGGCTCGACCTCGCCGGCGTTGGGCGAGGTCGGCCTCGCCTTGCAACCTCGCCCTGCAACGGAGAGGTCGAGCCTCGCCAGAGCCCTCGCCAAGCCTCGCCCTTCAACGGCGAGGGTCGAGCCTCGCCGAGATCCGGCGAGGGCCCGCCTCGCCAGCCCGGTCGGGCGAGGCTCGACCTCGCGTTGCGAGGGCGGGGCCGACCTCGCCCAACGTCGGCGAGGTCATGCCTCAGCAAATCGGCCACGCGGGGCCGGGCCCCCGCCAGATCTGGCGAGGCTCGACCTTGCTGTTTCAAGGCGAGGCCGACCTCGCCCAACGCCGGCGAGGTCGAGCCTCGCCAGTGGCCGGCGGGGCCGACCTCGCCGGCTTCGGCCTCCGGCCGATCGCCGGTCCGGCGACCGGCCAGAGGTTGAAAAGAAAAGAAAAGAAAAAGTAAAGAAAAAAAATTAATAAAAAAATTCGAAAAATAAAAAATAATATTAAAAAATTAGTTCGGGGTAAAATTGTCACATGTATATCAGTTTGGGGTTTTTGGTGGTCAAAAAAATAGTTCGGGGTAGATTTGTCACAAATGTATCAGTTTGGGGTTTTTTATGGTAAAAAAAATAGTTTGGGGTAAAATTGTCATAAGTGTACCAGTTTAGGGTTTTTCGTGGTATTAACCCTTTAATTAATGAGGTAAACTGAAGATTAAACTGAAGATTTCATTCGGACTAAGGATCACGAACAATGATGAAACTCGCAAGATTCGCCATAATTTGTAACTTGCTATCCTCTTGCTTCGTAAATAAATGAAGAGTTGTTATGAAGCATTAATGAACCACTCTTTGCCATCACTATAAAAGCACCCGTATATCTCTCCTGTCAAACGCATCCTTCAAATAGAAACCAAAATAAAGAATAAGTGAGAGATACACCATTCGAAAAACATGGCCAAATCCACCATAGCCTTCTCTGCGCTTCTTCTCGCGTGCTTCGTCCTGTTCGAGCTGGGGCTCGCCAAAGATGCTCATCAACCGGCGCCGGGTTACGATAGCTCCATCGAACCGTGTCTCAAAAACATGACCGAAGAATGCGGAATCGAGATCTTTCAGAATATCTTTCACGAGGGCCCCGAGGTCACCGACCCTTGCTGCGGTGTTCTGCTGAAGTTTGGTCATCCTTGTCACTCTGAGCTCATTGAGATCGTCCTCAGCACCGGCAAATTCGCGCCTCGCGAATCGGAGATCTTGCAGAAGAGCACGGCCGCATGGAAGCGTTGTCGTTCGATCGTCGAAGGACATTGATTGGTTATGATGTATCAAATCGTTATGACTATCTTACACATTGTTGATCAGTGGAGATGGCGATAGGGAGAGGACTTTGTTATTCCTTGCGTATCTCACATGCTAAATAAAATTACTTGATAGCCATCTTTTTCTCTTTCCTACTTACGCATCTTTCGCTTATACGGACTAGAATTCATCCAAGCACAAAGTTTTATATCATGTGAGTAATCTTGTATGGTATGCTCGATCTTTAGTGGAAGAGATTAGCAAATAACATCCAAAAATTAACATATCAGAAATGAGAAAATACGTAGGGAAAGAAGAGTTATATGGAGTTCAAGAATTTAACTACTTTTTTCGGACTTTTTTTTTGGTCAAATCTTGTCATTCAATGAACTAATGACAGATTTTTCTGTAATGGCTGAAGAATACTAAATTTTTATCATGATAATGCTTTGGGATTTAGCTATGGTGATTTCATACGTGCTGGAAGTGCAAGGCTAAATAGTCGAACTCAGTTCGATCTTACAACACCGCTATGGGTTTAATCCATAGAAGTAGTAATGACGTCACCGTTGGTCTCTGTGGCGAGGCCAGCAAGAGCCCTGATTTACGCCTTCTCTCTCTGCATGTTACTGCACGTGTGGTGATCTCAGGCGGCGGTAAAGTTTGGACCAGAATTGTCACTCGAGGTAAAGTTGATTTTTTTTTTTTTGAAATTAGCCCCATATAAATATGGTTACGACAATTTCGGATGTCACAGCGTCGGCAGCGAGCGCCCGGGTATGGTGTTCCAAAGCGGCAGTGGCGAGTGGCCAATCGCCCGTGACAGTCAATAATGTCGACTAGTGGTCGAACTGCGCGCCGTCGCCTTCGCTAGGATGCCCTTCCCCTCCCCGATTTTTTGTATGATTTTTTCCTCTCTTTTTTTCCCCTGATCATGGCAAATTGCAATGTAGGACGACACTTCAAATTTTTAATGGCAACTAATAGCTACGCTAGCATCTTTGTCTATAGTTTTGACAGAATGACTAAATAGAACAAAAAAATTGTATAATCTATGATCCAATTGCACCGTAAAAATTGAGGAGCTAGATTGAATATTTTGCAATCATATATCGCATGGACGTATTCTCATAGGAAACTTCAGTTTGTTTTGCTTTCTATTTGGCCTTTGACCCCACTAAAAATTTACGCTTATTAGCTTCGATCCATGATAAATCTTGTTTTGTTTTGCATTTGCTTTTGCATGTGAATTACACTTAGAACTTGACAAAGTCCATACAAATTGCAATCTTTTCCTTTAACTGAAAATGATGAAACAAAATAAATTAAAAGAAAAGTAATTACCATCACCTATACTAATTAGTAATTACTATCATAGTATCATGGAACCAACTTCTAAATATGGAGTCCGACCTCCAAATGACTAAAAAGTCCTTATTTTTAATATAAAAAAAATTTTCCAATATGAAAGATTTGAAGAGCAAATTATGTATTATTGAAATAAAAATTCGATATCTCTAACAAATACCCCATTTTCATGGATCGCATATCTCATATTTGAAATTAATAACGCTATTTTCCAACTAAAAACGACTGGATCCATCTCCAATCTGTCATGCTCTTAGCGTGGCTAAGGGCTATAGTTATATTACAGAAAACTAATTAACATTGTTATATTAATGCACCCATTGTTAAAACAGCCTACCTCCATCCCTGCGTATGCTCTTTTACTTGTTTAAGTTACTAAATATGGAAATTTCACAATTTCAATTACATCAATTCTTCGGGAAAATTGTCCAAAAAAGTCATAATCCTATTATACGGAGGCCAATTTAGTCATGAACCTTTCAATGGTGCTAATTTAATTCTAATCCTTTTGACGATTTGTCAATTTAATTATTCAAGCTAATTTTGGTCGAAAATCGCTGACGTGATCTAGTCGGCATTATCCGTCTTACATGGCACAGCCTACGCTAATGTGGACAATTTTTATAATTTTTATAATTTTATGAACTTGTTCTTCTTTTTTCCCTTTTTATTTTCTTTACTTTTCCTTTTTTCTTTTCCCCTTTTTCCCTCCACTGCCCATCGCCGGTCACCAGTGGGGGTCGGAGGGAAAAAGAGAAAAATGAAAAAGAAAAGAAAAGGAAAAAAAAAGAAAAATGAAGAAAAATTCAAAAATAATAAAAAAACAACAAAAATTGTCCACGTCAGCGTTAGGCGTGCCACGTATGATGGTCGTCGCTGACTAGACCACTACATCAGCGATTTTCAACTAAAATTAGCCGGAATGACTAAATTACCAAATCCTCAAAGATTTTAGGACTAAATCGGCAAATTGCCAAAATGTTTAAGACAAAATCAGCACAATTAAAATGTTTAGGAATTTTTTTTCGTAATTTTCCCTCAATTCTTCTACTGATATAGGTAGTTGACACATTAAAATTTTGAATGCTTTTTCTTTTTAATTAAGCATGGTTAATAAATGCCCAAAATGCTCTAATATCGGTAATAAGAGTGTCGGAAGCCAAAAGTGGAATAGAAAAAGCATGGGCTTGTTTTTATCTTTATTTTCTTCATTAGAAGCTTCTCTCAATTGCTAAAATTAATAACTACCTACTATCTTTAAAAGCGAAAAAAGCTATACAAATTCATTTACCAAATACACGTGGCATGAGTTGAATCTAGGGGAAAATTACAAAATTCTAAATATATTGTACGGATGTTAATTCAGTTCTAAACCTTTTAATTTGATCAATTTAGTCATGAATCTTTTGATGATTTATCAATGACCGAAAATCGTTGACATGGACGTTGGTCATCTTATGTAACACGGCTGGTTCTAACATGAACAATTTTTGCAATTTTTGTAATTTTTTTGATTCTTTTTAATATTTTTGTCATTGTTGCCGTGAGGGCTTACAGGCTCTTGTTGGTCACAATGGAAAAAGAGAAAAAAAAAAACGAAATGAACAAAACTAAGAATTATAAAAATTGTTCGCATCAGTGTCGGTGGTGCCATGTAGGGCGATCGGCGTTCCCGCCGGTAATTTCCGGTTGAGATTCGCCGAAAAGATTATATTAGCAAATTATCAAAAGCTTTAAGATTGAATTTTGAGATTAAAAGTTTTTAAGACGGAATTGGCATCTGCGCGATACGTTGATAACATTGTTGGTAAATTCTTCCCTTAGATTCTAGTGATAACAAAGCCAAATGTGCAAACCTCATCCATGACGACACAGTAGTATGCTGCCGTGAAGACATATCACGTCCTTGTAACTTTTGAGCCGTCGGATCCACCAAAACCTCATCCGTCCGAGAATCCCCGACCCCCATCCCTTATCAAGATGCGCGTGGCAGGCCAACCAATCCGAGGACGCCAAGTGGTAGTCAACGAGGGGACGCGCGCCCGATATTTTCCCATTAAAAAAAAAAAGAAAACCGCATTGATCACGCCACCGCACTCTACTACCGGTTCAGCAAAGCTGACTCTTTGACCCGGTCCAAACCAAACCCGGTCCCACCCACGCCCACCCAACCACCACCCGTTCCACGACGCCAGGGGGGGCGGCGACGTCCAAAGAGGCGTGTGGCCGTCACTCGCGAAGTCGCCGTTCCAAGGAGGCGTGTGGCCGTCACTCGCGACGTCGCCGTTTTGCCCCACCTCCTCCTCTTCTCTCTCTCTCTCTCTACAGCACAAGACACCAGGAGCATCTCTCTCTCCCTTCGCCTCTCTGCCTCTTCCGTTCTCACCTAATCTCTCTCTCTCTCTCTCTCTCTCTCTCTCCAGTGTGCGTGGCCCGTCTGCTTCCGATCCGATCGAGGTGATCCTTCTCGAATTGGCTCTTCCTGTTCGTTCTCCGGTTCGTTTGCCTTTGCTCCTGCACGTCTTCTGGGCCCTTGTCGTTTTTGCTCCGCGCAATCCCCTGTGGACCGACGTTTGGTTTCTCGCGTTCGGCGTCCTGTGTGGCGTGTACCCTTTTGGGGGTCTCTCTTCTTTCTGTCGGTCGTTTGGGATCGATTGCTCGTCCGGGGCGCGGCTTGAATTTGGGGGGGCGCGCCGGCCCCCCCTCCGCCGTCGAGCTGAGTGTGTGTCCTGTGTTGATCTTTGCTGTTCGTGCGTGCTCCTGGTTGGTAGGGGGATGATGGTTTAGCTGTAATTGCTCGATTTCAGCTGTGTGCAATGTCGGGCGTGCGTATTTCTTATTAAAGGTTTTCTTCTTTACCGGTGGTGTCTCGAAGTTCTCGTCTGTTGATCGTTTATTTGGTTCGGCGTTGAAGTCGGATGATTTGGGGGGGTCTTTGGTGATTTTTAGGGTTTTTGAATCGGGTGATCTCTTAAGGGTCGTAGGTCCTTGCCTTTATGACGGGATGAATGTATCGTGATTAGGTAGTCAAACGTTCTTAGCAGCATTTTTTTTTTTGTTCCTTGCGTGGATCGTTGGTTGATTTTGTTTTTCTTTTTAAGCGATTGCAACGAAATTCGTCTCCTTGTAAAGCTGTCTAGACCTGGGTTCCATGTCCAGAGGATTAAATTTTCTTTAGCGTTGATGGAATCCTGTAGATTCTTACATAGGGTGCGGATATGGTTTGCAAGAGAGCTGTTGGTCGACGTGATGGCAATCATTTAATGTAGATCGTAGCTCAGAAATCTCTGATAAAGTTTTGAAGTTGGGAGTTATGCAGCTATGGTTTGGTTTGGGTGTTGCCTATTTTCGATTAGTGAGTTTCCATGCGGAAATTGGTCATCTTTCTGCCTTGTAAACTACTTACGAAAGTTAGGAATTTATGCATGAGATATCATCTTGGTCTACATGATGCAGCTTCTTTCCTTGCGCTCCATATTGAAGTTTGCACCTTTTCTCTTTAGCTGTGCTAATTGCCGAACATCAGTGCGACAGATATACCTTCAATTGGCAATCAAACTTCTGAAGAGTGTTCGCTCAATGTGTGCTTTGCTTGTATTTGTATTAAACTCTGATCTTCCTTGGGATTTGGCTGCTGTGTGTTTCAATCTGTCCATCTATTTGAGCGACTGTATTTGGTTGTGAAACTCTGGGGAATTCAGCAAATACCCATCTTGTAGTTTGGCTTATTTGTGGTGTTAATCTTTGAGCATGCTTACTCTTCAACTTCTGCACTAGTGTTTTCAGGGTCGCTAAAATGTTTCCTGTGCTGTTTGCTCTACATTGATTTGACCACCATCTTGCTACTTGTAATGTAATATCGATATCTGAAGTCACTTATCAGTTATTTATGTCAATTTGCATGTCAACACGAGGATGTTGTCGATCACACTATTCTTTGTATGTGCAGGTTATTTTGATTCCATAAAGATGGACTCTTTCTTCAAAAGCGAGGATTGTTTACCTTCTCAGATGGACATCCTGAAATGTCCCTTTTTGAGGAACATTAATGAACCTACTAACTTCTCTTTGGCCTCTGCGATGCCTTCTGCGATGCCTTTTGCGATGCCAGTAAGCTTTCTGCTACTGATTTGTATTAACGTCTCAAGCTCTTTTTTCTTATTTTTTCCATTTACCAAAATGCAAATTGTTAATTGTTTCTCTGGGCAGGTACGTGGAGCCAAAGGTCCGATTTTTGAAGATGGGCCCAATTTTGACATGGCATTCAGGCTTTTTCATGGTCGTGACGGAGTAGTCCCGCTCTCTGGAAGGTCATTCTCACACTTGGAGAAACTAGAGACAAAGCCTGCGCCACCGCAGTTTAACCCGTTGGCTGCAAAGGCAGCAACAATCAGTCTCTCTTCCTTTGGACCTGGAGGGCCATTCAGCTTTGATGCCTTCTCTGAGAAATGGAAGAATCAGAAAAAGAAGTCCAATTCATCCAAGAAAGACTCTTCCTCACAGGTACATCAATGTCAATGTCGTGTTCTTTGGGTCTTTTCAGTTGGGAAGCTCTATATTGCTAGTTTCTCCGCAAGTGCAAGATCGATTGCATTGTGTTGTGATTGAGGAACCGTTATATTATCCTTGCATGTGAGGTGAATTTGTGTTGACTCAAGATAAAATGAATTTGTTTATAGGAAAATTCAAAGCACGAGGCCATGGGCAATGACTGGCTGCAAACAGGGAATTGTCCAATCGCAAAGTCATACCAAGCTGTTAGCAACGTCCTTCCCCTCGTGGCAAAAGTTCTACAGCCTCCCCCAGGCATGAAATTTAGGTGTCCTCCGGCAATTGTCGCTGCCCGAGCAGCTATAGCAAGAACTGCTCTCGCAAAGAACCTCCGACCCCAACCTTTACCTGCAAAAATCCTTGCGATCGGGCTCCTAGGCATGGCAGCTAATGTTCCGCTTGGGATATGGAGAGAACACACAACGAAGTTCTCACCTTCATGGTTTGCTGCCGTCCACGCTGCTGTTCCATTTATAGCGATGCTCAGGAAATCCATACTGATGCCAAAATCAGCCATGGCCTTCACCATTGCAGCTTCTGTGCTGGGACAGGTGATCGGCTCTAGGGCAGAGCGTTACCGGCTGAAGGCGGTGGCTGCTAAGAAACCAAGCATAGCGGACAATTCCATAGGCGTATCGAGTCCATTACAATTGGTTGAGGTGAAGACCGGGCACTGCAGCAGTGCCGTCGAGTGGGACCGAGTCACTCTTCAGGTGGCGGGGCCTTCTGCTTCAGCCGATGTGTTCTGTTGATTTATGGGCCGTGGGTGTCCCGTTTCGTCGAATCCTTGATTTGTAAGGTGATATTCTTTGTGTTTTGATCTGAACCCTGCTGTGGCTCTCCTTCTGATCTTGTTTTCTTTATCTGATCGGCTGTTCATGCAATAAAAACGAGGACTGTTTTGTCGTTGAAGAATTCTGCCATATAATATTACTCTTGTATTGAATTATTCTCCTTCTGCGCTAGTTCTTGCGGTTTCCGTATGTGGACGCTTTCTGGAACCATCATTATTAGGAGGTGAGAAAACGTGGGGCGTTATGAAAAGTCAAAAGCAGGAACGACAGCTATGGAATTTCAAGTATGGTGGCCGGCATGAATCTTTTTATTATTGAGCAGCAGCATTGATTCTTTTTTGCAATCCATTTTTCGTTTTTTCCTATGAAGATAGTTGACTTTTTTGAAGAGGAAATCGATGATTTAACTCGAGTCTCGAAATCCGGGCAATTGTATCTCGAGATACATTAATTTTCTTACGAACGCTATGATATGCCGTCGTAATAGTTGTAAAAAGTATAAGGAAAAAAATCACCAAAAACCTCAAATTATGTCACTTGTGATAAATTTACTATGAATTTTTTTTTGTGATACAAAAAATCCAAAATAATGTCACTTGTGACACATTTACCTCATAATACTTTCTCTTAAGGCATTTTCGTCTTTTTCCTTTTCTTTCTTCTTCTCTCTCCTCTCCGCTGTGGCCGGCGGAGGGAAGCTGGCGAGGGCCACCCTCACCGGCGTTGGGGTTAGGTGAGGGCTGCCCTTGCCGGATCTGGCGAGGGCGAGCGAGGGCAGCCCTTGCCCAACCCCAACGCCGACGAGGGCGGCCGTCGCCCTCGCCTGGACGAGCGAGGGCCGCTCTCGCCCGACGCCAGCGAGGGTTGCTCGACGCCGGCGAGGGTTGCCCTCGCTAGATTTGGCGAGGGCAGCCCTCGCCCAACCCCAACGCCGGCGAGGGCGGCCCTCGCCGGCTTCCCTCTGTCTGCCACGGCGGAGGGAAGAGAGAAAAAGAAAAGAAAAAAAAAGAAAAAGGAAAAAAACGAAAATGCCCTAGGAGAAAGTATTATGGAGTGAATGTGTCACAAATGACATAGTTTTGGATTTTTCGTATCACAAAAAAAAATTCAGGGTAAATTTATCACATGTGATATAGTTTGGGGTTTTTGGTGATCTTTTTCCAAAGTATAATTATAACGTGTACTATCTCGTATGTTGGAAGAGCCGATAATATGGTCATCATGATGACAACTTTCGCCGATGAATTTCTGCGTGAGTTTGATTAACAAGGACCACAGTTTTAGTTTATTTAATTGAAAAAGACAGGAGAAAAAAAAAATCAGAAATGTGTTAACCTGGCAATAGCCATGAATTTAATTGATTATTGTATAGAATTTTGCTGTATAATGGCGAGTAGTAAGATTTGAAACAAAACAAGTTGACTTTTGTCCATCATAATGAAGCTTTTAAGATTCGTGAAGAAAAGGGGAAAAAAAGGAAAGAGATCTGAAGAAGAGGAGGAAAGAACTAAAGGCCTTCTACCATTCAAGCCTGCCCAACATTGCCCCTTAGCCCAATGTTTTTCGACTGGCCCAGGCGAGCTCGTGGACAAAGCATTATGTCCTCTCACGAAAGTTTCTCTAAAGTGGTATTCTTTATCCAAATTTACCCCCCTATAGCGAGCCCTTCAAGTTCGTCTTTTTACAGTCTTTTGTGTCGTTCAACGTCGTAAATGAATCAAGCTTGCCACAATAGAGATCGGAAGCAGTGTGACGGACCCTGGCCTAGTCGACCTCGTCCAACTCGTGGTTGAAGGTCGACCTGGCAGCCTAGGCAAGATCTCGGTGCTCTTGAGGAGGCCGCCGGAGTTCGATTGGTTGTGGTTGTGACTGTGAAAGGTCGATTGACCCAAATCCATTGGCGTATGGTGGAAGATTGAAGATCGAAGATTGAAGATAAATTGAGGGGGAAAAACAAACTTAAGTAATCACCGGTCTATCAAATTTGTCTGTTTAATTATTTAAATGGATTAATACCTTTAGTACCCTCATTTTATTTATCTCCAATATCAACGTTTTGCGAATTAAAGACGAAGTTATTGCTTGCCGAAAAAGCCGAATTGAAACAAAACATTGTTAAAATAAAATCCGAAAATACGAATATTTACGTGTGCGTGCACATCTTGTGTAAATGGATCCTAGTTTTAGGATGATCAGAGTTTTCTAGCGACTTGATGAAGTACATAGTCAACTGTAGAAAATTAAAAATGTGGAGTAAGATGTAAATTCAAATTTGAAAAGGTTAAGAGCGATACGGATTGTAGTTATCCGATTCCTTCCAAATTATAAGTTTGACCCTTCCTAAGTAATGTTTTATTATAATTAAGGTAAGTTAATTAAATAAATTTTTCCAATGGTACAATACTTTCGAGGGGTTTCTTTCGAGTGCGGCCAATCATGTTTTCAGATGACAACATGTTCAAATAATCTTGAAGGTCACATGTCGACACTTCACGGGAGGAGCCTTACTCGATGCATGTGTGGGGCACGGTTTCGCTCATCCGTGGATACTAGTTCATAATGTCGCAGGCAAGGGTCGGCCGAGCCTCGCCTGTGGCGGGCGGCGGCGGCCTCGTCCGGGCGAGGCCAGGCTGCCGGTGGCCGGCCTCCGGTCACCGGCGGTGACCAAAAGGAGAAGAAAGAAAAGAAAAAAAGAAAAGAAGAAAAAGAAGAAAAAAATTCAAAAAAGTATTTAAAAAATCGAAATATATATGTGGAAATGCCACGTAGACTAATTTTTTAAAAAAAAATCAAACTAAGATTAAAAATTTAATTATAAATGCCACGTATTAATTTGGTCGGAATCTCTCGCCGTTGGCACCAAAGTGATCATTTTTCCTCCGATTTGGCACTTAAGTGATCCAAATGGAACTTTTGGTACCAAAGTGAGCTCCGTACACAACTTTTGGCACTTCTGCTGTTCTTCCCCTTTTTTCGTGGTATCGATTCAATTTAACGAAGGGTAAATTTGTCACAAATGTATCGGTTTGGGGTTTTTAGTGGTTAAAAAATTAGTTCAGGAAAAATTTATCACAAATATATCAGTTTTGGGTTTTTGGTAGTAAAAAAAGTTCGGGGTAAAATCGTCACATGTATACTAATTTGGATTTTTTGCGATATTAACCCTTTTTTTTTGTCAAACTAATTTACAAATTTGAAAACTCTAAAATTAGATTTGCTGATACAATTTTGTAAAGAAAAAATTTCCTAATAACTTACCTACACGGAGTAGTCAAAATAGGAAAGTTTAAGCAAATCCTACTTAGAGGCGGTCTTCCGCGATGCATATATAAGCACGTCTGTCGTTTGTTTCCTATTCTAGTTTCATACCTTGCGCATCTTATTCTTGGGAGATTTTTTCTGCTAGTTTCCATAGAAACTCGATCAGGGTTTTCGCCTGGCCCTTTCTGACTTGCTGCATCTCTCCTGAATTTCCTCCGAAAAGCATGGATTTCGGCATGCTGGAGCCCCTCTGCGTCGCCCGTCAAATCCCAGATTACGACCTGCTCGAAGCGTCGGACCGGCGTGTGTTCTACATGGAAGTCCACGTCAAGTTCGTGTACTTGGCCGAGCCTCCCAGCGCGCCGTCGGATTGCCAAGGAGATCGTTTGATGCCCAAGGTCTCCCGCGAAGAGAGACACGAGTTCCGGATCGACGCCGATCAGCTGTCGCAAGATGCCGACGTGGAGTGGTTCGTGCGGTATATGTTGACGACGGTGGGCGTGATGTACAGCCCCCGCCACGAGTTCATGGTACGGACGGTACTGTGCGGGGCGGCGTCCGTGGCGAGGGACGAGCGCAATAGGGACGCAAATGTTCTGCCGATGAGGGTCTCTATTTCGTGCGCCGACCCCTCCATTCACCCAGAGCTGACGTCGACTGAGGAGGGGCAACTCGCTATGGCCTACGACGAGGTCGAGGGTATAGGCCCCAGCGAGGATGAGGCCTACGATGAGGGCGAGGATATAGACGCCGGCGAGGATGAGGGGCTCGTGGTGGCCTTCGACGAGGGCGAGGATATGGACACCAGCGAGGACGAAGAGGAAGTAGCGATGATCGGGCCGTGGTTGAAGGGATTGACGGAGGTTGAAGTGACGGAAGGAAGCACGGATTGTGCGATCTGCTGCGACGTCATTCTTGCGGGTTCGAAGGGGAGCTCCATGCCTTGTTGCCATGTTTATCACCGAGAATGCATCGCGAAGTGGCTCAAGAAGAGCAGGACTTGCCCGCTGTGTAGGTTCAAGTTGCCTTCAACATACTAAGGATTGTCTGCAATCTGCATCGGCCCGCTCCAAAATCATTGAAGTTTGCTGGGATTGAATTTACCGTAAACTGACTCTTCATGTGAAGGACATACAATGCGATACATTGTTTTTACTTTGATTTTTGGTCTTGTATTCAAATCTGAGATACTGGTCTCTTTGTCAGTTGGTAAAAGTTTGTTGTCTGACTGATATCTTCAAGTGAAAAGAAAACCATATCTTTCATGTGAATAATATGAGTAGTATGGGTTATTTTTTTGAATATAATGTGATGGTCTGTTTGTTTCACTAAAAACTTCATGATATAAAATATATTTTTCATGAAAATCGTTCTCAAGGAAAACTGTCAATTTTTATTCATTTGGTAGTTTAGGGAAATTATTTTCCTTATTGCCCGGAGAGAAAGTTAGTCTCCTCCAATCTAAGTTTGTCGTTTTCGATAAATGAAAAACGTCTTCCGGAATTTATCGTCGTTCAAACGCTGCAAAAATTGGAAAACGATATCCTCATAATAGTTTTCTTTTTTAATACAAATGGGTCCTTAGTGTGAATATTTGTGTCTGTGTATGGCATATGATATGGGTTTCTACCGATCAGTTTGAGCCGATTCGTCATTCCTCAACCTTCACCTTCATTAATTTTAAATTTGAATAAAAAGATAAGAATAAAATATCTTGAATGGATTTTAAAATGGTTTCTATGAGTATTAACATCACAAAAAACCTTAAATTGGTACACCTGTAACAAATTTACCCCAAACTAGTACACTTATGACAAATTTATTCTCCGTTAGTTTTCGTTAAATTTTATCGTCAAATTGCTAAGTTGGGTGACACATGATAGTTTATGAGTGTACCAAATTGGGATTTTACCCTCCGTTTGTCATTGGGATAAATTTGTCACAAATGTATCAGTTTGAGATTTTTGGTAGTCAAAAAATTAGTTCGCGTACATTTATCACAAGTGTACTAGTTTGGAGATTTTAAAAGTCAAAAATTAGTTTTGGGTAAATTTGTCACAAATATACCAATTTAAGGTTTTTCGTGGTATTAATCCTATTATTTATGATAAAAAAAAGTTCTACATATAATTTAAAATTAAAGAGAAAAGAGGAACATATATTGTCATGGTGAATACTGCTTGGCTACGTTTAGTAGTCGGGATAAAATTTTATCATATCCCGTGTTTGGTGCTTACCCAAGAGAAAATAAAGTCGGATATATGAGAGATATAGCCTGGATATAATTATCCCATGGGAAAGGTTGGATAAACGTGAATATGATTTCTAATATACATAATATAAACGTTATTTTTCTCGAATAACAAACTTGTTATAGTTATAAAATTCAAATAACATTTGAATATAAATAATATTTGAAATTTAATATAAAAATCAAAATAACAAAAAAATAATAATAATTTCTTTTTTACTTATTCTTATTTTTAGTTATGTATTCAAATTTCTTTCTATCTTATGATATAAATTTCATATATATAAATAAATACATTTAGTATTTATATTTATTACATATTTTACGTATATTAGTTTAATTTACTATTTACAAAAATTTTCTTAGAGAATGATGGAAGGGGAAAAAATAAAAAAGAAAAGAATTAAAAAAGAGAGGTAAAAATAATAAAAAATAAGCAAATAAAAATGAATTAGATAAGGGTGTTGTGAGAGATTTTTATTATCTCCATTTGTGTAAGTTTTAGGTTCATTTACATTGATACTACGTTCATAACAAATAATGGATATGGTAAGATGTGAAAATATGTAGCTTTATTACTGTGATTCACCAAACAGTAGATATGATACAGCAAATCATTTGGATTTCATATCCACTCTTATCCAGTCCTATCCTGACTAGAAATTCATGCATCTAAATGCAGCCTGAATGGATTTTGAACAGAACTAACGGTAGAAAATTATCCATTTAATATGAAGCAGAACAAAATGAGTACCTTCTTCATTGGGTAAATAAATTCCTCCTAACAAATAATTCACCCAATTTAAAGAAATCAAAAATGAAAAAATGAAAATAATAAAAAAATTGCATGTTACTACAGAAATTATTGATAATTTGAGGCATATATTATTTAAGTAATCAAGTGAACAAACGGAACTGAATAAGGAGATTTACTTAATTTGAAAGAATTCAAGAAAACGAATGATTAAAAAGATTAAAAATTTAATGATGTAAACTAAACTATAATTTTTTTATGAAAAATGAAATAAATTATATGTTTTTAAAGGAAAATTATCCTCTCTTCGCTAATAGCAATGCTCTACATTTATAAAATTGTACTTCTTATTTTATCTAATGAGAAATGTTATTTACGTTTTAACATTAAAGTGAATAAACATTATATTTACCTTTGTTCCTACACTTTTTACCAAGTGATCCAATATATTTTGAGTTATTTATTCTGTTAATGATGACGTGGACAAGAGACTATAAATATTTTTCTGCGTAGAAGTTTTCGGTGGAGAAGTCAGTTTATTTCATGTAACCTTTCAACAAAATGACAAAATCATTCCTAGTGCTTTTATTCTATTTATTTATTTACTTTTGGTGAGTGAGAAAATTCTATAAATATTTGTTATATCCTTAAAAATAGGAGAATCTCTGTTATATTTTCGATTTGAAAAATAAAAATTTATAACTTTCAAGTTAATAGATTATGCCGGTTTTTTATATTTGAAATAACTTATTTCTTTTCTCTTTTCGATGCGTCAATCAAATCTTGTCCATTTGTTTTTGGTAAAAAAAAAAAAGATGTCCAATTACAATTCGGGTTCCTTGCAAATCCTTCGATAAATCCAACGTGAAATTAATCAGAATACCTCTTTCTTTCTTTTCAAATTCCCTTGTTACATCCAAATCAATTATAAGAGACCAAAACTCACTTTTTCCAATTAAATTATTAATTATCCCACCCCACCCCCAAAAGAACCAAAACGATATGACATCCAACTCTTTTAGGAGTAAATTTTATTTGAAAAATCATCCACAAAGTCCTAAACCTATTGCATTTTTATCACTTTAGTCCTCAACTTTTCGATTTTGCCAATTCAGTCTTAAACCTTTTGCATTTGTGCCAATTCAGTCTTAAATCTTTTTATATTTTGCCAATTGACTCAATCCGGCCAATTTTAGCCAAAAATCGCTGACATAGACCCCGGCTATCGTACGTGGTACAGTGAGCGTTGACGTGGATAATTTTTTAATATTTTTCGAATTTTATTGTTTTTATCCCCTTTTTTTCTTTTTCATTTTTTCTTTTCTTCTCTTTTCTATCTTCTCTTTTTGTTTTTACTATGGCCAGTGAGGGTCGTAGGGCCCTCGCTGGCTGCTTGGCGGCGGGCGAGGGTCAAGCGACCCTCATCGACCAAAGTTAAAAAGTTATACAAAAGGGTTAAACCCAGACACTCCCGTACACTTTAGCCATTTCAAACTATTTTTTGACCATAAAACTCAACATGACTGCGATGCATTTACTTGCGACATCTGAACAAAAACCTCAAAGATGTACACATGTGACTTTACTCAACTAATTTTTAATATATTTTTATTTTTTTCCAATTTTTATTTATTTTTATTCTTTTCTTTTCTTTTTTTTCATTTTCAAACTCGGCCATTCACCAGGCGGCCTCGCGGCTCCGCCTGCCTGGCCCGATCGCGGACGGCGACCGCGCCGAGTTTGAAAATGAAAAAGAAAAAAAGAAAAGAATAAAAAATAAATAAAAATTCGAAAAAATATTAAAAATAATATTAAAAATTAGTTCGAGTAAAATTGTCACAGTGCACTGTTGGGTTTGTGTGCAGATGTTCGGTAAAATTATCACAGTGTACCAGTTGGGGTTTTTAATGGTCAAAAAATAGTTCGAGTAAAATTGTCACATATGTACCAGTTGGGTTTTATGGTCAAAAAATAGTTTGGGGTAAATATGTCACAAGTGTACCAGTTTAGGGTTTTTCGTGGTATTAACCCTAAAAAAAAAGGTAAAAAAGGAAAAAGATAAGAAAAGGAAAAAAAAAGGAAAAATTTTAAAAAATTGTTCACGTTAGTGCTGATCGTGCGGCGTAGGATGGTTGGCGTTCACGTCAGCGAAATTTCCGATCAAAATTGGTCAAATGGACTCAATTGACATAATTAAAAGGTTTGAGAATGAATTAATAATGTTGTAATAGATTTATAAATTTTTTGGTAATTATCCCAACTCTTAACCAAGCCCAATTTTCCAAATCTTGCGCCCTTAATTAGCCCTAATGAACAAGAAGACGTCACGGGGATAATATACAAATAATAAATATAAAATAAAAAGCAACAAAAGGGTATGCGCCCACAACCCAATGACAATGAGGGTCTAGAAAAAGACAACAACGCTCTAGGTGAAAACAAAGAATATTTTGGGAGCCAATCGAGAAGAGAATACAAGTAATTCTATCCCCACTAGAAAAATGAACTCGATTCTTGTTCCCATATTGCCTAGGAAAGAAGCAAAAGAAGTCGGCCCTTCACAGAGACAAAAGCAACTCCGATCGCCAAAATTCCCCAAATTGCATGTTTTATGCTTTGCTTGCCTTGGTCAAATGCATTTAGCACCACCAATGCCTTCCCTCCCAATCCAGAGAGAGCCCACAGGATTGATGGTGTGTACTAATAGTTCCCTAATAAAGTTGAGCGATTAACGTTATGACTTGAACCCAACCCAAGACAAAGCAGCCAAAAGGGTACTTGAGTCCTAGAGATGATGGAGTACGAGCGGGGAAATCCGGCTACCTGAAGAAGGTTTACGAAACACTCGGCAAGTTCATGAACCGGTTACGTTTAGGCTTTTGGCAGGGTCTCTTTTAGATCCAATGTATGTGATTGGCTTACTCTAATTGGACATATCTAGACCATAGTTTTCGGGAGCTTGATTTGATCTTTCGAAGGTAAAAAGACGTAGATAATATATATGGTCATAATAAATGAAGCTATCTCACGGGTTATGTACTTGGGTCATCATCGTGAACTAACCCGATAAGGGTTCGGGGCGACTTAGAGTTCTTAACTTCGTTGAGCTGGTTCAAGACAAATCATAGTCATTTAATCCGAAAATGAACACCAACTTTCATTGATTTAGGTTTGATCACTGGGCTAAGCCTCCATCAGACGGAGATGCTTAGTGCCCAAGTAGTGCGATCGAGTCATCACACACTTTACGCCAGAAAGTGCACTGAATAACCCTAAGCCAAGGCAAAAAAGCAAACGGACGAAAGGCAGATGGACATATCTTTAAAGGCTTTTGATCAGAAACAAAGAGGATGCAGCAACAGAAAGCGAGTGAATAAAAAATCTAAAAGCAGTTTGACAAGGTACACACTCTAGCTAATTGCATGGTCTTAATTTACTCTTATCTTAATACCATGTGGTACTTATTCCATTTCAAAAATACATGATACAGAGATAAATCAGAAAAAGATTGCTGGACTAAGATATGTTCTGTTTATTATTAAATGTACCTCGAATATGTTGTCGTTCATTTAAAGCTAAAGCTGAAGAAACACAGCCTCTCTTGATCTCTTCCATCGGAGAGAGAGAGAGAGAGAGAGAGAGATGTACAGGTTCAGCAACACAGTGATAGGCTTCCTCAACCTCATAACTCTCCTGGCCTCCATCCCTATCATCGGGGCTGGCCTGTGGATGGCCAGGAACACCACGACCTGTGAGAACTTCCTCCAGACGCCACTGCTTGTCCTCGGCTTCATCGTCCTCGTGGTCTCCCTTGCTGGCTTCATCGGGGCCTGCTTTCGTGTTGCGTGGGCGCTCTGGCTCTACCTCTTCGTCATGCTGCTCCTCATCGCGGCCCTCACCGCCTTCACCATCTTCGGCTTCGCCGTCACCGGCCGCGGCAGCAACGTGGAGGTCCCGGGGAGGAACTACCATGAGTACCGGCTAGGGGACTACTCGGAGTGGCTGAGGAATAGGGTCAAGGACCCAAATAGTTGGAATGATATCAAGAAGTGTATCTTGGGGTCCAAGACTTGTGCCAAGATTCAGAATTGGACTCCTCTTGATTATCTGCAGAAGGACATGAGCCCTGTCCAGGTAAATGATGTTGTTCTCTTCTTCTGGAGTTTCTTTTCCAGGCTTTGACTAATTTTTCCTAGAAAATCAATGATGCAAGATGTTTGGCATGGCCATGGAAGTTTTCAAAGAGCCATGGGATGGGACTTACAAGTTCAATAGTATCAATGGAATTGTTATCCCTAAGTTTAAATTTTCAGTGGCCAACTTTCCATGTCGATAGTTCAATCAAACAACAAAGCCATTGAACAATTAGTCAGTTCAATCCTGGAAGAGAAACAAAAATTATTAAGACAAAAATGTTGGAAATTAAAAAGCTCAATCAAAAACTTCTTGCATGTCTATGGAGCATACAAGGTTTTCATTAAACTTGTTTTCATTTTTCTTCCTTAATGTTCTTTCCAGTATTTTCTTTGTTTTGCCACATTCACTTAGTATCTAATTTATGAGTTCATGCTTTGGTGCCTCGTTTTGGCAGGAGTATGGGATTTTCTTTCTCTAAATTGCCAAAAAATAGAAGGATGTTCTGATAAATCCAGGATATGGTAGGAAAATAACTTTCTAGGAAAACAGAGGAACAGGAAAAGTTGTGTCCCAGGATGAAATTTTTCTCCTAGTTGAAGCTGATCAAGAGGCATCATTAATTTCACACATTCCTCTACTTTTTTTAGCTCAAAATCATGATAATGGCCATACATACATACATACATACAAAATTTACTAGCAAGATATCTCATTTCGCTTAAGCTCTGAGTTTATAGGAAAGAATGACCAAAACATTTTATGACCTTCTTTGATTATACCTACTTACATCACAAATGACTAACTTATTACATATATAGTCTGGTTGCTGCAAGCCACCAACATCATGCAACTACAATATGGCCACAATGGTGGCTCAGGACCCGGATTGCTATCGGTGGAACAACGCCGCAACCATCCTGTGCTATGACTGCGACTCGTGCAAAGCCGGGGTTCTTGAGGAAATGAGGCAGACCTGGCACAAGCTTGCTGTCCTCAGCATCGTCATGCTGGTGCTTCTCATCTGCATCTATTCCATTGGCTGCTGTGCCTTCCGGAACACGAAAAGGGCACAGACCGACCACCCATATGGCGAGAACCGGATGAGCAAAGTCCGGCCCCGGTGGGACTACTATTGGTTAGTAAATTAAGCCCACTATCTTGATTATTGCCCCCCTTTTCTTTATTATAGACAATGCTGCTTAATCGATTTTATAAGCATGTTATATATTATTAGGTCTCTAGAATTAGATAATTACTTGCTTAACTAAAAAAGCAAGTTAGTAGGCTTGAGAAACCAAAGCATAATTAGAGAGTGACAGACTTCTGTGGAGCTACATGATATTTTGACAATATCTTTGTCAGACCAATTAATTATCCTCACATGATAAAGGAAGGTGTTTTGAACCCAGTTACCCCCAAAAGAAAGTCTCTCTGTTTTTTTAGCTTTTGTTCCTTTTTGACAAAAGCTGGTTAGACTTTCAGTGAGATAACATCATTGAATTCGTTTGGGTGCGTACAATATAGTGAGTGCATCACTGAAAACATATAAATTTGAATATAATATGGTAGAAGTACTTCTCATTCTATCTCTATGTCCTTGCTTGCTTTTTCTTGGGCATGGTCTGAAGAATATACATTGTTGGTCCTCTTTGGTGACAGGTGGAGATGGTGGTATGACTGTAAAGAGCGGCTTTATTAGCACACAGGATCCCATCTTCTCATTAATCTATAACCTTTCTTTTTCCCACCACCTTCACTTTCTTTTCTCTTTCTCTAAGGAAGTCGTGTTCATATTCTCAGTTTGTATTCTTGCTACAGCAAAAGAGAGGGGACAAGTCCATTGCTCCTTTTGAGGAGATGGGTAATGGTCATAGAGGTCTCTCATTGTCCAAAGTGACTTCGTGAATGCTTCCTTTTCTTGTACAAAGATGGGTTTTGCTTTTGTCTCCCAGTACATGGCTCACGCTGTTTCTGCTTTCTTGCAGTTTTTCAAATTTTACTCTGCTTTATGTACTCTCTTCCTATTCGAATAATGTTAGATTCACAAAAACTGATTAAGGAATTAGTCTATAAACTGGTCTAAAAATTAGACAAACAAAGAGGCAAACCAATAAAAAAAATGAAAGAAAAGAAAAGAGAAACTCCAGCTAAGATGAGAACATGATGCATGGGCATACAATACCGACCGCGTCTATCACGTCACTGTGTAAAGCTATCAGAACAAGCAAGATTCCAGTCGCCTGTTTAAACACCACAGGTTCACACAAGAGAAAGGGCGTTCTTTCGGGAAACAAGTTATCGGGCGTTTCGAATTTAACTAACATGACATAAACTCACCTGGGACCTGCATCTGGCAATATGGCGTGCAAGCCGTGATTTTATTAGGTTAGCCCATCCTGGTAAAAGGATTAAGAGAAAACATCCTCAATAATCTCTAAGGAACAACTTAAGTTTAAGAAACATCATTCCCAGACAAACTGTATTTCGTTGCGATATGTCTTGCAGGGAAAAAAACCCTCAGTAGGCATACGTGAAGATATTTAAGGTGTGACGGAATGCGACTGAACTATTACCACAAATACAGCACATCCAAAGCCAAAACTGAACTTAAATTGCTGAAAGTCACAAACTTTAGTGTTACATAAAGAATACTTCAAATTCAATGAATAGGAAACACGATGACGCAAAGAAAGGGATACAAAACACAGCAACAAGCATATCGTATCCAACTTGGTGGCTCGGGAGCAAAACTGGAGGAAAGATAGAATTTGCCAGTTATCTGATGGCTATCATTTTGTGGCTTGGGAGATTATGTTGCTTATTGAACTTGCCTCTTCTTTTGCAGCCTCCACAAGAGAATCCCATAATCAGATAGCAAAGTCTCACATTAGCAAAGATAACAAGCAAAAGATGTTCAGCACTTAACGCATCAAAAACACTGTGCATAGAGAGAGAGAGAGAGAGAGAGAGAGAGAGAGAGAGAGAGAGAGAGAGAGAGAGACCTGCGCTAATACCCGCCATAAATTTGTCATCCTGTTGGACTCTTGAACTTCACCAGCGATCACAAGCTCATCCAAGATATAGTAGGCCTGAAATGTCCACAGCAATAAGCATTTCTCAATATTGTTTACCATCGCAGACAGCTACAAAATCTCTGCAACTGGAAAAGCATAAGTACCTCATAAAAGTTATATATGATGTCCACCTCACAAACCTGCAAGTAGTGAGGGAAATTAAGGTAAAATCAAGGACATTTCATATGGACAAATTAGTATCTACTGGCTTAAAAAGGTACGGCTGTTCCCTCACGTTGCCAAAGCACAGGTCCAAAATCTCCACATATTGATGAATTACTTCAAGAGTCTCCAGTTCATTATCGTCAGGATCAATGCACATGCAAAAAAAGAGACCCTCGTATCTGCACAACATGATTGCAATGAACTTGATCAAAGACGACAAAGCGCCACGGAATGAGCCAATTAACTTTCTCACGATACCTTCTGTAGACAACCTTTAAACCTCTCCACTCCAAGAGATTGCACAGCTTATCGTCTCTATGAAGGATTAACCCACTGATTTCTCGGATGACCTTCTCAGATTACATTCCCATTCACAGAGAGACGTCAGTCTCCATATTATTAAAACCAGGTGCAGATGACTGATATCTCAACAGAGCATTAACAAACAAGAACTCGAACAGTTTCAATTTTCAGCAACCAATCAATTTACTATGGCGCTCAAAAATCTTATCAATCCAATGAGAGTTCCTGATGAGGTTGAAAGAAACCATGTCTCAGAATGAGGATAATACCTTAGTCCGTTCCTTCTGCGAATATGGCGAGTACCATTTTGTCAACCTGACCTTCCTTTGACGATTAATTAGAATAATAAAATGAATCCACAACATGCCACCAATATAAGGAAATAAAACTCAAACAGAACTTATAGAAAGAGATCAAAATGTGCGGCTTTATTTGTATGCAATGGTGGCCTTTGCTTTCATTTATAAAGTGCCAATATAGTTTGATACAAACACAAAAATCCAGCTTATTTCCCATCTTTTTGTAAAGAAATCTACAAAGAAAAGCATACAAAATTAACAGACGATAAGATAATAACAGCAGAGGAAAACCATGCTTGCAATTTAGGGCGCCCAGTACTAATGAGATATCTATCTTCGGTCAGATAAGTTCATTCCGATGAACAGTTGCTGCACCAACAAGTCTCTAATGCACAGCTTTAGAAAGCTAAATGTTGCCTCAAGCATTCCCCCCATGCAGTTTTTGCAATGTGCAAGTCATTGTTGCGAGAAATTCTCATGGAAAGTACATAAAAGTCATTGTGTAAGTCGCACACAAAGATCTTCCAGTTCATCATGAGCTCTACGTAGATGATAAATGACAACGAGGGGTTTCTTTTTCTTCTTTTCTTGTTCCTACTTTACCATGATTCGGGTCGGAGATCGAACTCAAGTCCTTCAAATTTGCAGGCGACTCTGCACCATCGGCGATCGGCAATGCCTGTGGGGAATGTGTAACCTTAGGAAGCAAATGTGAATATGAGATTACTCGTACGCCAAGTGCTATTCTAATAGCGAGAGAGCTGTTTTTCCGCCCGAGTTGGCAAAGCATCGCCGGTTTTCTCTTCCGAATTGCCATCTCTCTCTCTTTGACTGTTCTGGTAACGTTTTCAGTACCATTACACAGACCAAAGCAGTTATCAGTACGCGGTTTCGTCCCTTCAATCCGGTAAACCGACCAAAACTCTTGTTTGTTTCGTGAAAAATTAATAATTAAAAAAATATTTTTTTTTTCTAAAAACGATTATTTGTCTCGCTTATAAAAATGAATATATGAAAAATATTTTCATCAATTATGAAAATATTTATATGTAAATTGTTATCGATAAAGAAAATATTTTATATCGACTAATTATTTCCAATAATACAAGCGATTATTTTTAAGAAATTATTTTTTAATACATTCATTTTTTACGAAACAAACTAAACTAATTGTACATAATCAAGACCATGTAACACATTACGCTGTGATTTAAAAAATCCTTAAAAATAAAAAAATGAAATATAAAAAAGATATGTTATATTTTCTCGATATTTGGTCATTTGAAATTTAAAAAAAAACTAATAAGCCATTTGAAATAATTTATAATCCATACATATTCAAAAGAACAAGGTGGGAACCAACAACATCGGATCCAATTATTTAAGCCATCAAATGACTTTTTTCTAAAATAGCTCCACGCCAGCCCATGTATGATTAAAAAAATATTAAAAAGCAGCCACGCCGAATTTCGGCGCGCCATGTCAGCAAATTCGGCCATTGCGGAAGAGCTAAATTGCACCCTATAAAAACCTATTAGAGTTTAATTGCGCAAATTCCAACCCTTTTAACACTTGATTGTATATTGGCGCATATGTTGCAAATTTGGCCATGAGCTCGCCGGAAAATGCACCCGATGAAAAAGGTTTAGAATTTAATTGCCCTGAATTTTTAAAGACAAAAAGAAAAATCACTCAAATAAGTTTGACATTCGGCCAATTTGTTAAAGCAATGTTGTTGCTCATACGATTAAGACCCTAGAGATTGGATAAATAGAGTAAGAGCAAGAGCTTGTTTGGTATAATTGTGGCTGAATTGTAACCGTTGTAACCGTGTTGTGCTGTAAACATGCTGTAAGTTTTATGTTTAGCAATTATATTTTGAAATCGCAGTATCTCTCAAAGTTGGGTAAAAAACGGCTATAACTTTAACGGTGCACAGCTGCTAAGGAATTTGCCAAACACTTTTCAAAGGAGAAAATTGTCCAAAGTGATCATAAATCTATATACCGCTGCTAATCTAGTCCTAAATTATTTTCAATTTTGGCTATTGTAGTCCTAAATATTTTGACGATTTTCTAATGTAATCCATCTGATCAATTTTTGCCGGAAATCACGGACGCGGCATCTAGTCCCTGTCGATTGCCAATCGTCGTATGATTGCTGACTGTCCTACGTGGCACGGCGCCCGGTGATCTAATGTGTCCGACTTCACTCAAAATAACGTTGTATTTAAATATGTTATAATTGTTTTATTCTTTTCTTATCTTTCTTTTTTTTAATTTTTATTTCTTTTCCTTCTCTTTCCTTTACTCTTTTATCTTCTTCCTCTAAAGCATGGCCTTTCCCAGCGAGAGTAATCAGAAAAGAACCTCAAAACTCAAACTGAACTCTCCAACCTTTGAAGAAGAACAACTATCATCCTCCATCTAATTTTCCTCAAACACAAAACACTTTTTACGCTTTGGTTTCTCAGCACAAATTGTAACTAAACATAGGGCTGTGATCTGAAAAAGTTCATGCCTTCCTCTGACTAGAAAATCCATTCGAGAGCTACGATCAATCTCCTTACTTTTGCTCATTCATCTCTACTTCATCCTTTCAATGAGAGGATGAATCATTTGTTAATGCTGTCAAATTTCTAGAAAAAGCTCGTCCGAAGGTCAGATTCGTGCAATCGAAGAAAAATGGGATCGGCCATCATCTCAAAATAGGTCCATCACCATGAAAGTTAAGAATATTACTAAGGCATCGAGCTCTACCGCAGTGTCAACCAAGTTTGACAACCTCAGGCTCCGCAGTGGCATTGAGCTCGAGCCCCAGACCTGGTAGCTCGAACTCCGTCGCAGCATGGAGGTCAAGATCGTATCTGGTTCAACTTGGCACCGAGGGTTCGATGGACAAGCTTGCGACGAAGGACCAGAGTGCCATCTCCATTCTCCTGACCAAGCACTTAAAAGTAGAACCAGAGAATAGCAAATTGTTCGGAGATGAAGAAGATGATGAACAATGACCGAAGATAAGAAAAAAAAGGAAGGAAGAAAAAGAACATAAAAGAAATCTATGAATTTTAGGCAAAAGGACCTTGTTTTGGCTAAAACTGTCCGTGTCATATCACCGACTATGCCACATAGGACAGCTGGCACTGATTGGATCTATACCTGAGCAATTTCCGGTCAAAATTGACCGAATGAACTATATTGAAAAATCGTCAAAAATTTAGATTACATTGGCTAAATTAGAGACTTTTATGATTGAATTAACGGAAGTACAATATGTTTAGAATTTTTAGGACAAATTTTCCTCTTTCAAAGCTGGAATATTTCTTTTCACAACTAAAATTGATGCAGGAAAGTTGTACTAAATAGAATCTAAGTAGTCGAGTTTCCCACGACCTTGCTGGTAAAGGGAATGGAGGGAGGTGGAGATGCTAGTATCATTGGTACAGGTTTTGACTCCCGCGTTATGAAAGAGGCAAAGCAAAAGTCAAAGAGTGAAGAGAGTTAGAGATAAGACAGACAAAAAAAAATAAAATTGTGAGCTCTTGATTCACAAGTAAACAATCGAACCGACTTAGATTAAGTTATTGATTGGTTCTTGGACTCCAACAAAATAAAGGCAGGACCAGGCTAGTGATCCGATGAGTATATGATTGAATAAGTTGATTCGAGCCTATCTGGCTCAGCCTAATTTTTAAAGCATTAGGCTCCGTTTGTTTCCTGAAAATTGAAAGATTTGAAAAATATTTTTCCAAAAATTATCGCTTATATCGCTTATAAAAATGAGTAAACGAAAAATATTTTCATCGTCCATGAAAATATTTAAATATAAATTGTTGTCGGTAATGAAAATATTTTTTATTTACTGATTATATTAATCAATACAAACGATCATTTTAAAAAAAATTCCAAATCATTTATTTTCTGCAAAATAAATGAAGCCTAAGTAATTATTTTATTTTATGAAGGAATCAAATGGGGAGGTGCAAATTGTTTCTTTCATCTAGCAAGTCATATCATAACATCTTCTTCATCTTATTCACTTTGGTTGTTGTTGCTGGAAATTGTTTCACCTTCTCATCGCCGGTTTGAGACGCTGTTATTGACCCCAAATTTAGTTTTTGGTCGAAACTGACCCCAAATGAGAAAGAAAAACTCTCCTCATCATTGTCAAAAAATTGTATCGGAATATGGAGAAATCAAGTTTGTAAATTCTATGGTCGAATTTTTAATGTTTCCCTAATAAAATGATTTATGTCAATTCTGATTATATTTTACTTCTTGAAAATTCCCAGATGTGTTTGATGATTTTTGATAATTTAGGTGCTCCTAAACCTATCTATCTGCATGTCAATAATTTTTTTTTTGGTCGGATCTGCATGTCAAATTGAAAAGGTGTCCTGACACGCTTCTTACTTTAGCATTTTCATGCTCCAACAAAATGTTTCATGCTCGCACCAAACCTACGTGTAGCATTTTCACTTTGGTTGAGAATGGGTTGCTTCCTGCGATTTACGTATTCGCTATATGCTTCTATTGGATTAGCTAGCAGACATCTTCATTAAGGGACTATTTAGTCCGGGACATGCACTATTGAGATCCAATCTTTTGGTTGTTATACCTGTTTTGGATTGAGAGGTATTTATATGCAAATCATATGTATTATGGGGTCTTTTGGGAAAATTACCAAGAAAATCCTAAACCTATTGTACAGTGGCTAATTTAATACTAAATCTTTTAATTTAGTCAATTTAGTCATATACCTTTGAACGACATGCTAATGAAGTCCTTCCGGTCAATTTTAGGTGAAAATCGATGACGTAGACACCGGTCGTCCTACGTGATAAGTTTGGTGTTGACGTAGATAATTTTTACAATTTTTTAAATTTATTTGGGAAAAAATCAAAAAAATACTATAAAAATTATCCACGTTAGTTCCAGCGGTGCCACGTAAGCCGTTCAACGTCCACATCAGCAATATCCGATCAAAATTAGTCCGAAATACTGAATTGGTACCATGTCAAAAGGTTTATGACTAAATTGGCATTTAGGTTTTTTTTTTACACTTTTCCCCCTCTATATGTAATTTGAAAAAGAGTTAATACCATGAAAAACCCCAAACCGGTACACCTATGACAAATTTACCCCAAACTAATTTTTTGATCAGAAAAAACTCCAAATTAGCACACTTGTGACAAATTTACCCTCCATTAAATTAGATTAATACCACGAAAAATCACAAACGGGTAAACTAATATGTGCTAAAACCTAAAATGGTATATCTGTTAACTGCCACATGTCATCCAACTTAGCAATTTAGGGCCCGTTTGACAACCTGCCAAATAGTAAAAATTTCTGTTCTTTTGTTCCCTAATTAGTTTGGGAACAGAAATCCGTTTGTTAAAGTTTTTGTGCCCGGGCACAATTTTGCAAAAAATTATTTCCAGAATTAGTTTTGGAATAGAATCAAGAAGAAAAAAAAAGTAGCTTTTTGATTCTGGAACAACTTTTCCATTTCTGATTTTTCTTGATTTTCTTCTTTTTTTTGGTTTGTTGATGTTCTTCGGCCTGCCGCCCGCCAGCCGCCAGAGAGGGCATCGTGGCCCTCGCCGCCTGGGCGAGGGCGGCTCGCGGCCGCGATGGCGAGGCCTCGGCCAGCCAAGGCGAGGCCGACCTTGCCATCGCCACCCAGGTCTGTCGCCACCTAGGTCCGTCGCCTGGGTGGTGATGACGAGGTCGGCCTCGCCTTGGCTGGGCGAGGCTCGACCTCGCCCAGATTTTGTTTTTCTTTCTTTCCCTTCCCTTTCTTGGCCATGGCCGGTTGCCGGCGCAGGTGAAATTTTGTGTAGTTACCAAACACATTTCTGTTCTTTTTCTATTGTAAGAATAGAAATTTGGGGCAGTTACCAAACGCCTTCAAGTGCTTAGAAATTGTTTCCGGGCACAGAATAAAAAAGAATCATTTCTGAGTAGAATCTGTTCCTGGGCACAGAATGGTTACCATGATAGTAAAATTTAACGGAAACTAACGGAGAGTAAATTTATCACAGGTGTACCAGTTTAGAGTTTTTTTTGTAATATTAACTCTTTGAAAAATTAAGAATTGCTAATTAAGAAAAATGAAAAAGAGCTGCTAGATAATGCAAGAATCCAATGATACTCGTCACTTCGACAATTGTCTTGGATTTGTCCATGGATCTATTAAACAATTCCACTAAAACCCAAAAAAGTAATTTAAACATCCCATGTGAGGGACACCTTGAAAATCAAAGTGTTTCAGTTTCTAACCAATCTCACCTCGGCACATGCGATAAAAGATTTTAAAACCTTTTTTTTTTTCACGTGTTTAGATCGTATGATCTCTTTTGGCATGCAGATCTCAATGAATATAAAATAATATTTACGGCGGCGAATTTTGCCGAGGATAGTTCCAAAGCTTGACCAAGACGAGCTATTGTTGAGAATTTATTGAAACCACTAAATTTAAAGGGAAAATGATATAAATAATTTTTGAAGTTTAATCTAATATGTAATATGATCCCTAAAATTTTAATTTTAATGTGGTCCCTGAATTTTAGCCTAATGTAAAATGTAGTCCTTGAACTTTTAATTTATTCAATATAATCTCTAAACTTTTGGTACATATTTATTTAGTCCATGGATTAGATAATTCAGGGACTAGATTGAATCCAGAAATATCGTAATTCATGGAGTAAATTGAACGTTTATTAAAAGTTCATGGGCTATATTGAACAAATTAAAAGTTAAAAGACCACATTACACGTTGGACTAAAGTTCAGGGACCATATTGAATAAATTAAAAGTTAAGGAACCGCATTACACGCTGGATCAAAGTTCAGATACCATTTGTTTATCCCAAATTCAAAATGTGGTAAAGTAGCTCCTACACGGGGAACTACTCCTTTGATGGGTGTTTCGAGAATTGACAATTAATCAGAGTAAGTTACTAATTAAGCACGTAACAGCTGGAAATTGCCCTCTAGCTTGTAGTTTATAAATCGATAGGCTCGGTTTGTTTCATAAAAAATACTAAAAACCGATTGCTTGTATTGCTTAGAATAATTAGTCCATTGAAAAGGTTATTATTATTGATAATAATTTATGTTTAAATATTTTCATGGATGATGAAAATATTTTTCGTTCATTCATTTTTACGAGCAATTATTTTTAGGAAATTTTTTTTCAAACAATTGATTTTTTGCTAAATAAACGTAGCCAAGACAATATATTTTTCCTTATATATATATATATATCATCTGTCCATTTTAAGTCGATGATCTATGCAAGGTCAATGAAGCAAAAGTCTTGCTCGGGTCTTGATCAATGTGGATGTGGATGAACGTGGCAGCAGCCCAAGATTTGAAGACTGTTGACCCACGTCTTTTCCCACTATTTGAAGTTTGAATTCATTAATCTCGAAACCTAAATTTTCCATAGGTATAAAAATAATAACAATCATGGCTCAGCCTTTATCCAATTTTCATATACGTAGATGAAAGGCATGTTACTGAAAAAATAAAGGGTTAATATTACAGAAAGTCCCCAAAAACTCTAAACTGGTACACATATAATAAATTTATTTAAAATTAATTTTTTTACCATAAAAAAAATCCTAAATTGATACATTTGTAATAAATTCATCCTCCGTTAGTTTCTGTTAAATTGAATTAACACCATGAAAAATCACAAACTGATACATACGTGAACCTCGAACTGGCACAACCATCAACTGTTACGTATCACCCAACCCAGCAATTCGACGGTAAAATTTAACGGAAACTAACAAGAGATAAATTTATCACATGTGTATCAATTTATGATTTTTCGTGATATTAATCTAAAAATAAAATAGTATTCGATAATCACTTTTCTGTACTAATCCGCGTACGTAAGGTCCAAATTGCGTGGAAAAATATAAAGTTTTTAAAATCATGTGCGAAGAGGAAGGAGCGAAGAAAGATACAGATAAAGGACAATTAAAAAACAGGACAAATGACCATACGAACAGCAGACATTGACAGATATATACAATACATCCAAAAATTAATAAAACTAAGTAAAATAAACATGGTAGGCGGCGGTCCCCAATGGCTGCTAAGGAATTAAATAATTTAAAAATGAAAAGGAAATGGTCCTCCTATGACCAGGTCGTACCTTTGGCGTCGCCTCAAAGATCTTAGGAATATGTAAAAATATGGAAGGCATAAAGCGCACATTCTGCACAGCCTTTTTTTTTTTTTTTTTTTTTTCCTTTTTTCGCTCTAGTCCTCGAATTAGTACGTGTGTACAATCAAGTACCTGAATTTGTAGAATTTTTCCAATTAAAGCTCTGTTTGTTTCGCGAAAAATAAATAACTTGAAAATCATTTTTCTAAAAATTATTGCTCGTATTGCTTGAAATAATCAGTTAATGAATAATGTTTTATTATCGACAACAATTTATGTCAAAACATTTTTATGAACGACAAATTTTTTTTTTCGTTCATTTATTTTTATAAGCAATACAAGCAATTATTTTCAGGACAATATTTTTCTAGATCATTCATTTTTCGCGAAACAAACGCATCCTAAGTCTCTCAATCTTTGTTTTTCGACAAATTACAGACGATCAAATTGCATGGACCAAATTATAGGAATGATAATCTTAACACCCCATTAGACAATTCCAATAGCTTTCGATTCAACAGAGCCTTCGATTATTTCGCCGTCTTACCACTGGCCAGTACCAGCCGGCAATCATCAATTTATTAGAATCGGAGGGATTTGACTAGAGAATCATATAAAGTTATAAAACTTGGTTGTACAATTTGTAAGCTCAATGATCATATTGAAAAAAACGGTGCACATTCAAAGACCAGGTACACACTTTTTTCTTAACAAATATAGGGACACGGCGACACATTATTTCGAGAAATACGAACGATTTGGATATATTTGGGAATGCCATTATTTTGAGTGAGGTGGGGGTTAGAAAACACATTTGGCTCATCCTCGGTCACTATTTAACACGGAATTCACTATTGAATATATAAAATATTCATCTTTTTCCGACCGTGTTGAATCTTTTTAACGGTGCAGCTCTATTGCGCAAAAAGGGAGGAATCGTTCAAGAGCTTCTCGTGACATTCATAAACGTGTCATGAAAGATTCTGGTACTTCTAGAAGTGGAATCAACAATTGACCGCGTAGACGTCCCGATTTCATGGCTACATTCAATAAAAAAAAAGTATAGTAAATTCTCCAGGTTTGACGTTTTTAATGAAATATTTTTTTTAGTATAAGCTTTTGTTATCGAATAAAGTTGCAATTGTTCTCTGAGATGGGTCGGAAGATAAAGTCAGATGGGGCCCCAATGTGCGGTCGAAAGTCATATGCATCACCTTCTAGGCGCCTCGCCCTCCTTCCACGCAAAACCCGTTGAAAAGTCAAAGTCTTCGAAGTTTCAACCACGCTGATATATAATCCCATTCATCATTTGCATAGCTGCTTCACATGCTCCATACCATCTCGTTCTCCGCCTCCGTTGAATTACCTTGCTTTCTTGTTTCCTTCGTTGGACCGGAGCGTCCTCTTGCTCTCATCGACGCGGGGACTACTCCTCCGGCGACGTGACTTCCGGCTAGGTGCCGAGGATCTTCGCGGCACAGTGATGGCGGACGACTACGAGAAGGAGCGCACTCTGGAGGAGACCGCGACGTGGGCGGTCGCCATCGTTTGTTTCGTGATACTTGCCCTCTCCATCTTGTTGGAACATGCCATTCACCTCTTTGAAAAGGTGGGCGAGCTTTGATCGCATTCTCTTTATTGCTTTCGCGTGGTTGGCAAGCTAAAACGGAAAAGTTCTTGAAGAGCTTGATCGTGGCTGACTGGATTGATCACTGACTGTTGTGTTAGCTACGATGTCTTTTCCCGTTGTCTGATGAATGTCGCTGATTGCTCTGTTCTTGCCATTTGCAGTTCTTAAAGAAAAAGAGGAGGGTAGCTCTTGTTGAAGCATTAGAGAAGGTTAAAGCAGGTGATTTTAACACTCGACTTGCTCTCGCCAACTTTCATTAACAGAAACGCAGACTCTCTTAATGATTTCTTTGCGCTTTATTGATCAGTTCTCTGTTTTTTTTTTTTTTCGCTTGGGCAGAGCTTATGCTGCTGGGGTTCATTTCACTGCTTCTGACAGTGCTGCAAACTCCAATATCGAACATATGCGTCTCCAGGAAAATCGCGAACTCCTGGCGTCCTTGTAGCAAGGGGGCCAAGGCCGAGTCGGACTCCGAAAAGTACGGCCGTAGACTCCTCGAGTTCTCGGACTTCGATGGGGTCATCCGCCGGAGTCTGGCCACGAAAGGGTACGATAAATGCACAGGAAAGGTAATACTAAGCTTTTCAAATATCTCTGTCAAATCACTTCATCGTCTTTGCAAGTTTTGGTCATATCACATAAACATACCCTTAGTTCAAGAAACTATACTGTGCGATCGAGAGAAAGTGTGCATCCCTTCATTTATGTCTCTCTGAATGTTTGGATCAATGTAAAAATCTCTGTCGCTGCATATAGTATTAACTTGTACTGAACAATTTGTGCAGGGCAAGTATGCCTTTGTCACGGCGTACGGTATACATCAGCTCCATATATTCATCTTTGTGTTAGCCATCTTCCATGTTCTGTACTGCCTCTCAACCTTGGCTCTGGGCAGCATTAAGGTACAATAGAAAGTTACAAACTGAAGAACCTCTCTCTCTCTCTCTCTCTCTCTCTCTCTCTCTCTCTGAGTGGCCTTGTTTGGTTGTTGCTGCAGATGAGACGATGGAAACAATGGGAAAAAGAGACAAAGACACATGAATACAAGCACTTCAATGGTAATCTCTAAACTCCTAACATAAAAGACCATGACTTAATTTGATTAGCTTCCTCGATTAGTATTTGACTAGGAAAATATGCCCTGAAAATTACGGATATTTGGTCACACACTTTGCCTAATTAGTGAATCTGGTGTGCTGTCAGCATCCATGAATTCCTTACTAAGAATGCCCATCAACCATTACCATGTGGTTAACCCCCTTAGATATTCATGAGGAAAAATTAGGTGCGCACATAAGTGAATTGTTTAAATTTCTGCGTTCGAAGTTGTATCTAATATTCTCTGTCCACTGAAATTGCGGTACTTATATATGATCTGTTGGTCATGGGCGGGTGCTTCCAGTTTTAGTCAAACATGAATGACATTGAATTGTTATCATCTCCTTGTCCAATTATGGCTAAAGCCAGAGCCAAATCTCTGTTGCAGATCCAGAGACGTTTAGATATACAAGAGACACATCATTCGGTCGAAGGCATTTGAGCTTTTGGAGCCGATGGAAAATTACTGTCTGGATAGTAAGTACATATTCCCAGATAACATACAACTTGTGTACTAGAGTTCAAATTGGTTTAGAATATCTGTCAGCAGATCATATTAATTTCTCAAACTGGATAAAGAAATTTATTCACGAGCAATTTGGGATCGACATGCTTGTGAGTCTAAAATTGAGTTCACTTAGCACACGATGCAGATGTGAAGATTCACAGTCAGCCCTTTTGTTAATTTATATGTTAGTGACAGTATTCCAACTTTGGCACAATTTTAGCTTTGTTTGCAGGGGTGATAAATGTTTTTATCTTTCTCTGAGAAATATAAACAAAGTTACTTTTTCTGATGGAAGAAAAAAAACCAAGATCCTCCCAAGAGTTGACCTAAGGTTTCTTCCCCTTCTGTCAGGTGTGCTTTTTCAGACAGTTCTTTGGATCAGTCACAAAGGTTGATTATTTGACACTACGACATGGATTTATCAAGGTAAGCACACGCTTGTCGACATGTGAAGTAGTCACATTCACATCGCCAAGTACGATCATTGTTACAAAGAAGGTCAATTAAAGGTTTACTTAAATTGCAATCGCAGGCACATTTGCCAGCCGGAAGTGAGATGACATTCGACTTCCAGGATTACATCCGGAGATCACTCGAGGACGATTTTAAAGTAGTTGTCGGAATAAGGTAGGAACTGCCTAATGTTAATGTGCAGTTCATTTTGTCTGACTACATGTATAAGTCTCACAATTCGTGATTTTTTGACATGCAGTCCGGTTATCTGGTTCTCTGCGGTGCTTTTCCTTCTGACCAATACGCATGGTAAGCTCGGATGATTATTGCCGCCTTCACTTGCAAAGAAAGCAAATAATTTTGATTAGAGTCTTCAAAAACTCTGCATTCTGATGCTCATGCCATTTCCTTCTCTCTGTTTCATTAAGCTCTCATTCAAAATCATACAACTGGTTTTTATATAGTTTCCTATTTAAATCTCTGTGGCTGCTCTGTGTTTTTTCTCTGTTGCTGAGACACTGCTTTCTTTTTTGTTCTATTCCGCAGGATGGCGTTCTTATATATGGTTGCCGTTTATTACTCTGATTGTAAGCACAAAAGCTTAAAGCAATCTATATTTTTTCTTGTCCTCTCGAAAACATCTCTTCTGAGGATATTGGGTGTGAAATGTTGATGATTGATATGTTAATCAAAGGGTGGATCTTGCAGATAGTACTCTTGGTGGGGACAAAGCTACAAGTTATAATCACGAAAATGGGACTGCGGATTCAAGAGAGGGGAAATGTGGTCAAGGGCGTTCCTGTAGTTCAACCCGGCGATGAGCTTTTCTGGTTCGGACGCCCACGTCTCCTCCTTTTCTTGATTCATTTCATTCTTTTTCAGGTACTAAGAACTTCTTCTGTCAAATAACATCCTCGTATAATTCATTTTTTTTATAAGACCTCGTTCATATTTTGTATCTTGATCTTAAAATTTTTGTTCTATGTCCACTCTTCTCGATTGCAGAATGCTTTTCAACTGGCCTTTTTCGCTTGGGGCACGGTAAGCATTTTATCTGATCCATCGCTTTATCAAATTATGCACGTGTGGCCATTGAAGTGTTTATTGTGATACTCCCAACCTTAATCAATTGCAACTTCCGTATGTTCTAACGATGATTGCCATCACGTTTTCAGTATTCATTTGGCTTCAAGAATTGCTTCAATGAACGCACTGCGGATAACATCTTCAGAGTTTCAATGGGGTCAGTATTACCTAATTCAGATCACTTACCATACATCACTCGAGAAAAATAGGGATACATGGAAAGGATGGCAGATTTATCGCCGATACTCTTTAGCAAAATAGAAAAAAAAGATAACATGAGAGTATAGCTTACATACGTAGCATGCACAGGACACTGAACTATCTGTGCACATTGGCAGACTATGCTTGAAGCTAATGCCACATTTGATTTCTTCATTTGAACAGGGTATTCATCCAGGTCCTCTGCAGCTATGTGACCTTGCCTCTCTATGCTTTGGTGACACAGGTTGGTGAAATTCTTATGTAATTATCCATTTTCGCAATGGATTATCCGCGAATATCCTAATGTCCTTCAAGGAAAATGTCACACTTGACTGTGGTGATAGCACACTAATACTAACAAAACCAATCCCCTTCCGTCGAATTTCACATAAACATTTCCCAAAAATCGGTGTCGAGAATGTTTGGATTTCAGACTGGAAAGGAAATGGAACAGAAAACTTGCGATTCACCGGTATAAGAACTTTGTTTCGTTTCGGCTATTTGCAGATGGGATCGACCATGAAGCCCACCATCTTCAATGACCACGTAGCAACAGCGATCAAGCACTGGCATACCACGGCGAAGAAACACACCAAACAAAGCCACCACTCCAATGCCGACCCGTCGATCTCCAGCCGGCCGACAACGCCGGCTCATCTCCTGCAAAAGTACAACCACAGAAGCGAGGAGAGCCTTCACGAGGTCGAAAGCGAGCATTGGCACGAGTTAGAGTTGACCAATGAGTCTTCTCATGACCACCAATCAGCCCACGACTCCGAGATTGCTAGGCATTCTGATGTCGTGGAGGAAGAGCAGCGGGACTCAGCAAACCGGCCATCGGCGCCGCCTCAGGTGACCGCCCCGAACCGCAGTTGACATCAGTTTAGTTGGTAAATAAATCCACCAACAATAAAGGCTGTTTTAATGGCGATTACGGAGCATTGGAGCTCGAAAGAGTCGGCGGAGTTGCAGAAGTACATTGTTTCTAGAGTTTGTGATAGTTCCTGAGTTTCTGAATTGTAAATCTTTGAAAGAATTCTTGTTCATCATCCCTTAACTTTCTTTATATTCAAAAGGGTGTCCGGATAAAATTTTACTTTTCGTCTGCGCCGTTTACAGCATCATCGACTCCTTGGATTATCCAAAGCGTCGGAGGGGAGCTAGAGCTAGCATGTAATTGTCCAAAATAGTTGGAAAACTCATCGCCTCCTTGCAAGACCAGCTGGAGCATGCCAGCATGGAATAGACTAATGATCATATACGGTACATCTACCAAGAAATTTGGTGTAATAATGATTGGAGCTGTTGGCAAAATAATTAGCTGAAAAGACAATAATGAGGGATCAAAAGGTCAAAGTCCTTTCACACGAGAACATGACTCGAACATAACGCGAATCCAATATTTCCTTGTCAGGATCTTTTTAGCATGGAATGCATATATTATTTGGTACAAATTATGCATCAAGTTTCTTTGAATTCGGAATTGGTTTTATATATAAAGGCGAGAGCAAGATGAAAGGAAAAGATGGCGGGAGAAGCACAACATTTTAGTTAAGGCTGGCAATTCGTGTGGCGTCCACGTATTTTTGTGGGTCATTTGAATGATTCTTTTATGCCGTTTATAAGGTGGTTTAGATGTGTCTGTGAAAGTGCTTTTCATGAAAAAACAAAGAAAAAAGTTAAAATGCATCGATTTAAAAAAAATGGTTATAAATCAGTTTTAAGTTAAGTCGGGTTGTAAGTTAAGATTTCTTAAAATAGATTTGTATTGTGTTCGAGTCACGTTCTCATATTATGCGAAGAACTGTCGTTCCTAATTTTAGTTATGTCTTGTATAAAATGGCATGTGTAAAACTATAGAGAACTAACAACTTTTTATCCTTCCAAAAAGAGAAGTACCATCAAGCGCCGGATAGTATGATTAAGGTCAAAATTTCAAATGTTTTTACGAAGGATGTGATGACAAGTTTAATCATAAGCAATCCCGTGTTCGAACCACCACAAAACTTACCCACCTTCTCATGGGACAATAAGACAAATAGTCACTTCGAATCCCACAAAAACACATGGGATTTGCAAAAAATATATCAATTACAGTGGAATAAAAGTAACTTGAAAATATTGCCACCAATATAAAGCCGATCCTGCTTTTAGTATCCATAAACTAATTTTTGCTTTCTAAGTCCAAAAATTCATTGACAACGAACCTAATTAAAACTAAGATCCTCATTTTTCTTTTTTTTTGCAACCCGAGAAAGAGAAAAAGACAAAAACCAAACCAAACCTCACTTTATTAACCTATGCACTTTTCATGTCCATCTTCAAAAGAATAAAATCAAAAAATAAAAATCAAAAGGGCCCTAATTAATTGCACCTCAATTATTTGCCGTTTAGTACAATAATAATAATATAATAATGATAATGATAGATGAGATAAGATAATTATTATTACATTATTTTGGTTGGTTGCGGTTTGTTTTTTTTTTTTTTTGGTCGAAAAAAAAAGGCAATCACCATTCCCACAGCCTTTCCTTTTCCTCATTCCCACGGCCTTCTTTCTTCCTCGCCGCCAGCCACCAACCGTCCCTCTCCGGCGAACGATTCCGTGCATAAATTGCGCGAGCAAAAGCACGTAAATGTTCAAGGAATTCAAGTGAATAAAGGGTTTTTCTCTGGGAATCTGATCTCGGGTCCCCGTCGAAAATGGAGGTCCGGCAGAACCCGGCGGCGGACAACTCGTCGGTCTCCGGTCGCCGGCAGGCGCCGAAGCAGGCCAAGCCCTCCCCTGTTCCCGTCGATTCGACCTCCGTCACTCAGAGGTGGGGTTTTCTTCCTTTTTGCTTTTTCTTTCGGTGGCTTTTTGTTGGGTTCTTGGCGTTGAGGAGTTTCGGGGGTTTGATCGTGGCTGGGTTGCGTCTTGTTTTGTTTTGACAGGCTCCAGAAGGAACTGATGGCTCTGATGGTATGTGTGGTGTTCCTTGTTCATTTGGGTGTCTCCGCATTGTGTTTCTCTTGACAAATTTTGTGCCCAGTTCTGCCCGCTTCTCATCAACATTTGCTGCCTGTGCCAGCCAAAGAACGTTCCTTTTCTTTCTCTTTTGCCTTGAATTGTCTGGACCATGGTCATTTTCTGCCATTACTCGGTGGAGTTGTCATAGTTTCTCTGAAGTTCACTGCCAAATACGTTGGAGGTTGCTAGTGAAGTTACAAGCAAACCCCATGGCCATCATGGGTTCGTGGTCATGGAACGGCCTAGTGTGCGGATTAGAAGAGGTTCGGTTCTCCTGATGGAAAATGAGGAAGGAAACTACGTTTAGATCATGACAAAGAACTAGTTAGTTGTCCCTGAATGATCACATCGACATCTTCCGGGACAGTTGCATAGCCCATCGATGATGTGCCGGGCATGTAGAGCTCAATCATGTTCGTGGCATAGATAGGTCTGTTTGTTTAAAGTGGAGATTAAAGGTGTCGTGTGGGCAAGATAGTCATCTTCAACCGTTTAAACAATTTTAGACTTCTCTAATCAAATAAGTGAGCTTGTTATTTGTGTTAACCCAATGCATATATACACATTTAAACACCATTATACGCGTTTATATCTCTGACTAGGCAGGTATATGTACCCAAATCAATTCTTAAATTTTCAGGTTTTAACGTCACATACAAAATAAACATTTACATCTAGGCTAGATAGGTATATGTAATCATCTTAATTTGATACGACATGATTATTATGCCATAAGAAGAAAAATCGCCGGCCCTAGTTTGCTTTGGGCAGGAGAATATGCACATTGTAAGTGAAGCTTCTCCTTGAACTTGCATCTTTTCCTGGAATCTCTACTATCGCTTAGGTGCTGACCTAATTAACAGTTTCCAATTCCTATTTGTGTGAGTATCAAGTTACTACATTTACATCTCCCATATGAAGGAGCATTGTAATTTGCCAGTATTCTGAAAGATAGAATGAAGGCACTAATACTGTGGCCAATGTAAATTGTTAAGTAGGTCGAGATTGGTTAGGAGACTTTGGGGGAAAATAATTAATGACTCTAAACGGTTTGCAATAACTTCAAGATCATTGTGCTTTATACAGAAAGTCATATGCTACATTGCAATAAGTCATCATTTTTTTTTCGGCCAGTATTGCAATCAGTGATTGGGTGAAATTTAAAGGTCATTAATAAATATGATACTTTTTCAAGCTTCCAACTTTAAGTTTCTGAATTTTTTTTGTGCTCTTCTGTCTCTTGCCTCAACTCTTTATGCATTCACCTCTCCTTTTCTTCTATGTTTTTGTCTGGCCATTTCATCTAAATACCAGAGAATGCTTTCCTGTGCAGATGAGTGGAGGAGATCTTGGAGTATCGGCATTTCCTGAAGGTGAAAGCATTTTCGCATGGATAGGAACGATTGAGGGTGCAAAAGGTACGGTGTATGAGGGTCTCTCTTACAAGCTTTCGTTGCGGTTCCCATTGGAATATCCATTCAAGCCACCGCAAGTCAAGTTTGAGACTCTGTGTTTCCATCCGAATGTCGATCAGTTTGGCAATATATGTCTTGACATCCTTCAGGTATCGTGCTTCTCAGCAAGTAATAAACCTTTTTAAAGACACTTTATGGCACGAAAGCTCTTCGTTCTGGGGAGTTGACATTAAACCTGTACTTTTGTTTTACCTGGCGTTCGCAAAAATTATTTGGACATGTACTCTTATCGCTTTCTCATGGCCATTCCTGATATTTTTCCTACAAGGATAGAGTACTTCTTGGTTTTGAGACAATTTTTACTATCAATTCTTATGGATTTTAGGTTATTGGAACCTATATGTTTAGAATGAGAATTCAAATAGGCATTTTGCAAAAGGGCCATAGTTTCCTCCATTCCTGCAGAAACTTCCTCTGATGAAGCCTCTAATTAATGGGTTCCAAATATGGGATCACTCACATGCAATTTAAGCCAGATAAATGTGAGAGATGTCTGTGTTTTGAACCCAACAATCAGAAAATTAAGTTGGAGGAGGGATGGACGAAATATACCCTTCTCAAAATCGTTTACCCTTCAGTTTTCAAATGCATACTTGGGTTGCATTTATAACTTTTTTAATTGATTTTCCTATTTCCATCTTTGTTTCACCATAGTGTGATTGGTAATTCCATGTAAATGTGTTTTAGATTGAAGCTGAAAATTTGATGGGCCAAACTGAAGCTTCTGTTGATTAAGAAAATTAAAATTTTGTGATGAAATCTGTATCCTGGGTAATTAATTTGAGAGTAACGGATTTAGAAAAATGAAATTTCAAACTCTTTAGTAAATTTTCCTGTGCTGTCACTTTTTTATTGCCTTAATGTTTATGCAATTGATGGCATCTCTTGTGGAATGTCGCAACAGGATAAGTGGTCATCAGCATATGACTGCAGAACCATTCTTTTGTCCATTCAAAGTCTGCTGGGAGGTCTGAATAACTATTTCTACCAATCTACACAGTTTTTAGGTTGAGTTTTCTTCCACTCAAATGTTGCGTTCTTGCAGAGCCCAATCTTGACAGTCCTCTCAACAGCTGTGCTGCGGCTTTGTGGAACAATAAAGAAGGTTTGGATTTCATCTCTCTTGCAATGTTCTGATAATTCAACCCTAAATTTGATGCATTTGTCCTATTGCCTGTGCTTCTCCTTTTAGTTGTGCTATAAACAACAAGAGTAAATACCATGTCTGTACCTTTGCACATGCTGGCAAGAAGTACAGAGTCACCATGTCGCTTTATCTTTGATGATTGTGTTGATATGACTGGTAACATATTGGTACAATTTGTTAAGACGTTTATGTCGCTGTGCATTCACAGATTACAGAAAGATGGTCCATAGACAAAGCTTCGCTGGAGAGCTTTTCGAAGAGTGATCCGTAAGGTACTTGTACTTCTACTGTCACATGGGATACATTGCATTGCCAGGTTCTCTCTAGATTTCGAGAGAAGAGCTCGACACTGATCTAGATTTGTATAGTCTCTTTTTTACAATAGTTGAATATTGTATCTGTAAGATTGATTTGTTAGGCATGATAGACCCCAAAATGGGTGAAGACTTGGCGCACATTTGTCTGTTCAAGATGACTTTCAACTTCTGTCCAAAGAAAACTGGGGACTTTGTACGTCATTCACGGTCTGTTTGGATTTGTATTTGTACTGCTTCTGCTGTAACATTTGTTTGCGGAAAATGTAAGTGATCTTGGTACGAATAAAAGGGATCGTCATTTCTTCCTCTGTGGATGGATTAGACAACCGCGCTGTTAGCATGGAATTCTTAATAAACCCACCACCCTTCTCAGTATAATCACCATCTTCACTTGGGCAGAGGCATTATATTCGCAACTACTCTTGAAGATAACCAGTAGTTCTAGCTACAGATCGCATCAGGAGGAAGCAAGAAAAATTGCATGAGTACCAGAGACGACATCAATTAGGTTTGAAGCCTGGGTGAATCATTTTTGTACTCTATTTACGATTTCTACAGTTTCATCTCCCGTTCTTTCCATGAATCGACCTAGGCTACAAATTTGCATTTTCGGACGTTCTTGTAAACTTGTCTATTAGTCTATATGCTTTGTGCCCATCCCAATTCTCTATCGGAGATCTAGCTGCATTCATGTTCTGTTTGGAATGACAACTGATGGATGGTCTGCATGAATTTGAAAGGTGGTCATTACATTTACAATGCAGGATCATTTCCACATTGGATCTTCACTACTTTCACCGACGTATCATGATAGATTGTCTGCACAAAAGTCTTGTGGTGATAACCAATTCCCATAGTGCAATACTATTCACTACAACACTGTTCGCTTTCTTTAACATGTCGAACTGGTGAAGTCATTTGTAAATGGATTGAGTTTGATTTGAACTAGAATGACATGTATCGAACTGTCATGAGAATTGATTGCAGAGAGAGGGAAACTTTGTCAACCGAACAAATGAATGCTAAGCAGCGATGGAAAGAAGCCATTCTCATGAGTTGCGAACAATTTTCTTTCTATAGTCATCCGACGTGTATTTAGCAACAGCAAAAGTAAAAATAGTGCAACGTAAATGCATCAAAGAAGACAAAATTCCTGCACTGTGAGTAACATAATCCACAAAATAGGCACACAATAGCCGCATCCAGAAATGCATACTTTCCAACTTCATCATGAGAAAGATACTTTCTGCTGTACTTGCTCCAAACTAGTAGTTGTCCCTCGTCATCAAACACTCTCGGTGGCATCTTTCCCAGATTCTTGCGCAGTCTGTGCAGCTGCTAAACTCTCAGCTGCAAGTCTTTCTTCTAAAGCCCGGGCACCTCGTTCTCTGAAATAAAAGTCAATTGCAAATTATCCGTAACTTGCATCCCGCTTACAACTATAACAATCCGCAGACCACAATTTTTATTGCAGCAGCAGTGCTCCCCTTGAATATCATTATTGATGAAACTAGCTGAAAATTTGTCTATTCATGGATTTTGCATAGTATTTAAAATTGCAGTAGTGTCTTCAGATTTCCCTTTGTACTTGAAAGCCCCAGAATTTATAGACTGGCATTACCTTCATGAGGACTTCAATTTTATCAAAACCAAATTGGGATGAAGTCACTTGCTATTTCATCATGGAAAATTTAAATGAGAAGGATCAGGCTATTGATTCTGTTCCCTGTCTTGGAATCATTTCTCTTGTTTCTGTTTTTCCCTTCTCTTAACTTAACTTAAGAGCATCAGTGAAAAGTACATAACATATATCACTGTTTCTACATGGAAAATCCAATTTGCGAACTGATAAGTGAGAATTCAAACGAGAATATTACCTCCTCCTAGATGCTTCAATTGGATCAGAACCAGGCAATGGGTTATCACCCATGTCATAGTCCTCGGCCTCAGATGAAGTTTGACGTTTTCCACAACACAACCGAGCAAATATTGATGCAAAAGGATCAATTATGGGCCTGCAGGTCAAACAGAGAAGAGAAACACATGGCGTGAGATGTCAATCTGGGGAGGAGATGATTGAAGAAGCACTACTAAAGTGAATGATAAGAACTAAAGGAAAAAGTAGAAGAGTTAAATGCCTAAACAAACATACAAGGCATCAATCTTATCAGTCGGACATAAAGAAACAAACAATCACGAAATTACCTTAATAGTTCTGGGAAAAAGGAAGAAAAGGAAAAATCATCACTTGGGTCACCCATGAACTTAGTTTCAGGCCTCCTTTGCAAGAACCTAAGGTAAATCCAGCTTGTGTATGTGCCAAATACTAACATTGGCAGATACGCTGCAGGCTCTGGTATGAAGAAGCTTACAGCGACAGACAGTAGCAAAATGATAGATGGCAACCACTGCACGGGGGCCAGTAAGACAACCAGTGCATTAGAAACTAGCCATAAAATCTACCCCAGAGATATCTGAAACAAAGGTTGATGCCTTTACAACATACCTTCGCTTTAATCCTCAATAAAGGCAACTCATGGTCAGGTATAATTTGCTTAATGCCAACAAGGAACCCTGAAAGGACCCCATAGAAACCAGATAGTGGCATGTACCTAGACAAGTATTACAATAAAACCAAATGAGGAGGTTAATAATGAGACGGTAAAATACCCAACGGGCAAATAATACAGGAATTAAAATCCTAGAATTTGATATACGGAAGAATTAATACATGCATAGTGCTAATTCAAATAAAGCAGCGGCAACGATAAGCATATGCTTAAGATATCCAATCCACCCTTAAAATCCAGATGTGCAATCGAGATTTATGAGGTCTCTTCTACACTAACATGTTTGCTCCTGCCAGCAGAGCAAACGGAAACAACAGAGAAGGGCAAAAATTAAGAACCTACAGAAAATTGAAAAACCTCTCAAAACATCAGTCAGAAGTTAATTTGCACTCATGTAATATAGGTAATACTGCACTTACAGGTAACTTTCCTCCCTTCTTATGTAATACAAGGCAATGGCAGTGACGAAAACACAGAGAGAAGTTAAAAAGTTGACAATGAAGATGAACTTCACGAATTCTTTAGCACCCCATATGGGCTCGAGAATCTTTCCCATGAATAGTAGACCAATAGTGCTGATAACAACCTGAAGCAGAGACAAGCTTACCAGAATCACGAAATGAGAAAGATAAAAAAAGAAGAAGAAGCAAGGCACTAGAGAAGCTAAAAAGAACAACTAGTGCAGTCTATACCCCATATATAGTTTGCTCAATATAACCGGCCGTTATCAGATTCCAAGCAAAAGGAATTGTCCTACAAAGAAAGAACAAATCGCAAGTGAGACTCAGAACCGATACCAGAACATGTACTGATAATCAAATGACAACAATAATTCATTAGGCCTGCACCAAGAACCGTAGGTGGCCAACACAGTCAATGGTAAAAGTTAAAACTAATCCATGGTACGGTATTTTCATTTGTGGCACTGTTTAGATCTCATGCTGGAAACTCTAACATAGAGGACATTTCAAAACATATGTGCTGAGACATATGTCAGTCATCTGCTGTAATTAGAATTATTACATTGAAATAATTAGAACCAATTAGATATGAGTGCACAAATCCTCCACCGCTGTGACAAATTATGAGGGGAAGTAAGTCCATGGTAACCCCATTTTTTAATGAGAGACAAGGAAAAGATGTTATTGAAATGGAGCAAGGATGTAGATGATTTTTCTACTATGAAATAGTACTTCAACCTTGAATTTGGCAACGCTGACTATGTGCTTGCAATAAGGTAGATAGTATGTTCAGTTATTCTCTACTCATTTAAATCATAACTACAGTTCTTAATATGTAGATCATTTGGCATCACTTTCTGAACTTACCATTCTCTCAGCAAATCATAACGGTCCCAATTATACCTCAAAATCTCATCATACAATGTTTGTGCACATTAAGGCAATGCAGAGATTAGGGCATGTTCGTTTGCATTTAAACAAAAGCAAAACTGCAAAACCTTAGAAGATAAATTCAAATTTCAGGATATTATGAAAAGATCATATGTGAACCTACGTGTCAACAGTTGAACGTAGGGAAAGTTTAGAAGTTTCAGATTTAATAAAAAAAAGTCGATGCGTGAGCCACAAGATTTAGATTAACCAAAACAATACAAGTAAAGTCAATCCAGACAGGCCCTTAGTCTCCACCATCTTCTCTAGTCATATTTTCATGTGAACTCTAGAAGCTCCAATGAAGAACTACCGGAACAATCAAGTTAGGTTTTTCAATAAATATATACATTGAGGAAATATGATCACATCTACACTCATACATAGCTGCATAGTTTCTGTATTGGAATCCCAACTTAAGTTTTGTTAATAACATAGACTCCATCCCGGGGCTGTAATGTACCACAACATAAAAGACTTGCAATTTCTTCATGATCTCATCTGCAACATGCTCAGTGGCAGCAAACTCAAGCTTAAGCAGCAAGTAAGTTCAGGGCCTATAACTCGTCAATTGGCCATTGCCTTGAGGAGGTCACATCAGTTCAAGACAAATAGAGCTGCATGTATGTAAACTCAACCAAAGGACTTAACTAGGGCGTAAAAACTGAAACTAGTTATATTGCAGCAGTATTAACACTATAGGTAGGTTGAGCAGCTGCCTAGCACACTCTTGGAGTTGACATGCCATCATGTTCACATTTACATTTCAAAAGTACCAGCGGAAGGTTCGGAAATAATTCCACAGACGGGAAAATTATGTCAACAAAAAGTTAAAGCTTGTTTAGAGGTTTAGGAGGAGTGCATGGCAAAAGGGAGCACCTCCCCCTTCCTCCAGATCTTTTTTTTCTCCGTCTTGGCACAAGTTTATTTTTACTCAGAATCCCTCCAATTTTTTCTCCGGACATGCCATATTATGCTCTAATGCAAACTCCGGAAAACCTCAATAACTAACCTGAAGAGATGCAAATAGCTACGAAAGTATAGATTTAACTGTTATTAAGTTCTCATTGACCAACTAAAGATGATTCAAATGTTTTCTTGCAGTACAGTACAGTAAGCACGTAATTGCCTCTCATCTAATAGGAATTTAACTAATTTAATTTTCAAGGCGAGATAAAGAACCATCTGTTGAGGGCAACGAGTTTTCGATCCGTAAGGAGTCCACGATACTTCAGGAATATGAAGCCAACTCAAGAATTTGAAGCAAATACATGCCTCTGATCTCGAACATCACCTCTGACGAACATCGAATCTTAGCATTAAAGCATGAGAACTGCTCCCTTACA